AAAAAAAAAAGTTTTTTTTATCGACCATTAAACTCACATAGAGACGCCAATTTTGAAGTGAACTCGTCCAAAATCACATCAAGTATACTTCCAGAGCCAACAAATTTTATGGAGCAAACGAAATGTCTATATCGAATTTTCCTGATTTTATAGAATTTTTTTTTAGTTTTTTCGAGGAAAAACTTAGAAAATTCAAACAATTCTCATTTGTTGTCGCAAGTACTATTTGAACAGTAGGCATTACAATGCTGTTGTTCGTTTTCTTCTATGGTGTCATTCACCCCATAAATGAACTTGGGTAAGGTCTCCCGTATTGCCTGCATTTAAATCTTTTGTGTGCAGGCATGAGTGTTGCATGCATGACATGTGTGTCGAAAGCGGTGTTCGCTCTCAGAATAACCTGTCAAACCAAATAGACTTGCTTACAGATTACAAAGATGTTGAAAACAATGAGTCAAACACCTTAGATTATGTCAAACTCGCGATCGTCTCGCACGATGCACCCGCAGACAAACATCATCCGTAGACGAAGTGTGACAAGGCCTGCGTAGTAATTGGCCTGCATAGTAACAGGCCTGCATAGTAACAGGCCTGCATAGTAACAGGCCTGCATAGTAACTGCTGCAAACATTGCAAGTCGCTGCCAATGTCCACGAAATGGGTCTACATCACACACTATCCAGGCCGGGCTCCAAGAACTGCTGAATATGTTTAACATACACTGACTGCTCTGAGCGGTGGTTGTCTTCAGATTGACCTGAGAGAAACTTTTGTTATGGAAACTATGAGCAAGAGAGCCTACGATCCAAAGTTTTCAAAAGCAAATATATGGAATTGTGGCTAGATTCAATTGACCATGCAAGCCTAATTCGATTTATCCAAGATACAACTGTTCATAACAAGATCATTATCATTAACAAGCTACCTAATTTACAAACCTTGGTGGGCTCTTCTTCTGTCTCTTTCCTCGGCAATCGACAACTTAACCCCCTTACCCTTAGGCAACGACACCCAGGGCTTACCGGCTTCGTCACCGATGATGAACACGTTGTTTTCTCTGGTGACGAAAGTGTGGTCTCTGGCATCCTTGATGTGGACCAAGTTGAAACCACCTCTGTGGTGTTCTTGGTGGATGATGGTACCAACACGACCCATGTTTCTACCACCGGTGACCATGACCAACTTACCGGTTTCGAACTTGATGAAGTCGGTAATCTTGCCAGTGGCCAAGTCGATCTTGACGGTGTCGTTGACTCTGACCAAGGGGTCAGGGTATCTGATAGTTCTACCATCGTGAGTAACAGCGTAAGGGATCAGGCGCTTACCCAATTGGACGGACTTAACCTTAGCCAACTTGTACGAAGCTTCTTCAGCGGTGATTCTGTGGACGGCAAATCTACCCTTGACGTCGTAGATCAAGCGGAAGTTTTCGTTGGTGGCTTCAAGCGAGATGACGTCCATGAACCCGGCGGGGAAGGTGGTGTCAGTTCTCACCTTACCGTCGACCTTGACGTGTTCCTGCATGAGGATGGCCTTGACTTCTCTGCCGTTCAAAGCATACTTCAATCTGTTTCTAATGAAAACGACCAAAGGGAGCGATTCTCTCAACTTGTGGGGACCTTGCGAGGGTCTGGGGGCGTAGGTGCCGGACAACTTGTCCAACATCCAGTGGGAGGGAGCTGCCAATCTCTTCAAGTGCTTCTTGCTGAATTTGTTAGTAAACTGAGACAGTATTTTACGGGAGCCTAAATGTCAAGTAGTGTGTCCACCAATATGAGGAAAAGGTCGCGTGGTAACCAAAAACAAGGATTTCACAGGATCAAAGGTCACGAGAACGTGCCAATAATCTCAATGAAACCATGAACCACTGCTAGTAACCGTTGAAAAGTCACTAACAAAGGTTCAGTTGTTTTTGGACATTCACAAACAAACCACCCCACCGTTTTTGATGGACACTCCACTATCGACAAGGCTCCCAATCCAAGCTAGTCCTTTTGATTAGAAACTAGCTGGTAACCGTTATAACGAACGATCCTTTCTCAGAATCAGTTCTCGGCTTTGTTTATAGTCGCTCGACTTACGGGCCTCTTGCCATCTTTGATAGTAAGTGTAGTGTGTAAAGAAGAAATTTTTTTTCCAGAGGTGAAAAATTTATTGTCGTCGCGACAGCGAGGAGTGCGCGCACGTGACCTAGGGCTAGCAACCCTAATGTTGACTCTACTTGAGAATGATTATCACTAATTTGTAGTGGTGGCGTGACCGTAAGTTGGTTTTTTTCACATGCTAATGCCACCCCCTTAGGTTTATCTCACGCCATCGTATGTATATCATGTGATGATTTACCCCACATTTCGGAGTAGTGATCACATACCAGGGCACGCAACCTTCCCTTATCGCTATCGCTGTGGCTTCCCCCACGTATTCCCCGCCCCATCTACTCCTATTTCCAAACTAAACCAACAATTGCCCTCTTCTCCACACTTGTCTCAACCTGTTATATCTCATATTAGCCTCCAAATAGGCCATATAACCATAGTTAATCATTCCTTAAATATTATGTTACCAGGAGCATTTATGGAGGGGAAGGAGATGGGTGTTGCTCCCCGCATCTACGACACCCCCAAGATCACCCACCAATTTAAGCAGGAATTGCCTGATCGAGCCTAGCATCGCATGACCCTGTTTACTTACCCCGAAATCATCAGCCGATCACCAGCAATCATCAAACCACGCCAAACCATTGCTACCAACATCAGAGAAGGTGGAGACTATAATATTTTCATTGATTGTCGTAATTTAGTTGCTAACGGAGGTAAGCGGAGGCAAACGTGAGTTGCCAACACGAGAGATTTAGTCCAGGGGACAGTGTCTAAGAGAAGAACACAAACTATATCGGAATTCATTACCTATATACGGAGAAAGCTGGAACAACTACTCAACAACCATTGATTAGAGAAGTTCTTCTTATTTTTTTAGTACCACTAGACTTTGACTAGTTTCTTTCATAAACATTTTTTTGTTTTTTATCATTTTTTTTTGTTTTCTCATTGAACTGACAACGAATAGTCAAAGTAGACGAACTTAAAGCCAGTGCCAGGGGTAGACCAATTGTTGCTAGAAGATGGTGATGTAATAGATTGCCAAATGGTTTTTTTTTTTTCAATCGAAACAATCCATTTTCATTGGAATGAATGAACTTTAGTTCAATCCATGTTGGTTTACATGTTCTCCTTATTTTGAAACTACTTCACTTTACCCTTGTTTCAAAAAGTTCTCTTAATTTTTTTTTTTGATTTTCTTATTAATCAATAAGTTAAAGATGAATCGGGGATCAACCTCGATAAAGGATACGGAATATATAGATGGGTCGTCACAGGGGTGTGTGACAGGGGGTGACGAGTTCACGGCTGAAACAGGGGGCGACTAGAAAATGGTGTTTTTGGGGTCCTCTGGGGTGCCGCGGAGGGCCAGGCCCAGATGGAACTCGGCGCCTTGTTCCGCCAACAACGCCTCGGCGGTCTCCGGGGAGCGGTCGCCGTGCATAGCATTGACAGAGGCGCCGGTAGCGCCAGCGCCCGCGGCGCCGGCGCCGGCGCTCGCCGCCAATTTCTCAACTTCGGCGCCCGTCATCACCTTGATCCAGTCAACGTGCAACGAGAACGGGCCGTACTGCTTATCTAATAAGCCAATGCCGACGGTCTTCACCTCGGCCTTGTTTATCTCCGAGCCGTCCTGGATCACCCCCCAATTAGTCATGACAAAGTCATTCAACGGAATCACCACCGTCTCCCATTCGCCGGGGGTGTTAAGGAAAAGCCGGTGCTGGTACAAGTCGGTCACCAAGGGGGTATTGGCCTGTAAGTTGACCAAGTACTTGCGCTTATCGCCGAGGACCCTAAGTGCGAGGGCGTCGTACATCAGCCAATCCCAGTACTGGTTACCCGATAGCCACGAGTCTTTTTGGTCGCGGGTGCGGAACATCGCATATCCCAGACGCGTGACCTCGGGGTTATCTTTGGGTAAGTCCAAGTTTAGGTATCCGTGGAAATGCCCCGTTTGTGAAACAGGGTCAATGTCAAACTCAACGTCAGAATAGCCGCCGATCTCGCGGTCGCAGCGGGTTATGATCGATTCGTGCATCGCTTCCGGTTGTTTGAAGTCCAACACCGTCGCCACCAGCGGCGCGAGGCCCTGGGGCTTCTTGAATAACCCTTTGAAGCTCAGGTTCAACCCCAACGTTCTCAATGACATGTCTGTAGTTTCAGAGTGTGTTTGAGACTTGGTTTCAAAGTGTGTTTCAAAGTAGGTTTTGAAATGGGTTTGAAAAGTTCGGGTTGTGTGGGTTCGCGGTCAATTAAGTGCGCGACGGCTTCCCTTTATATATCTGCCAAAAGTGAGGGGAGCAGTGGCAGTGAGGCAGTGATGGGATCAGCAGCGGGCGCCGGGCGCCAGCGATGGGGGGGCGCCCGATTCCTGCACCTCGGAGTCGGATGCAGGCGAACGTAATTTTTTGAAGGTCCGGGCGTCACCTGTTTCCCCGGAAACTCTCGTGCCGGTGTTAAATTAATAAATGAAGTAATCTCCGCCGGCGATGGAGACCCCGACGATGAAACAATCATTTTGGTTTCAAATTAAATCCAGACTGTTTCATGTTATGTTTTACAATTACAGACGACCGCTGATTTCCGGGGTCTGGGGGGGACGGAGTCACACTTCGNCACACTTCGCACGGGGGGGGGGGTGCTGCGGACATTAATTGCCCTGCTCACACCTCCTTATCAGTGGCGGGGTGTGGCAAGCAAGGGTACTGGAGAAAAAGTGAGGTCAGTTAGTAGCCCTGAGCAGCCCCCAAAATCCACTAGATCCTCGTATCGACAAGGACAACAAAAAGCCCGTCACCTTTTGCTACACTGAGTTTGAAACCGTGATTTTTTCTTACATTGTTTCATGTTGGCCACGTTTCATCCACCTCCGACAGCCTACTAGTTTCATATCACTTGTATCATCCTCGCCATCCGGGGGATGCCGTCGTCAGGTGTCGATAAACTCCGATGTAGTCCTAACCCCCGGCATCGCGTAATCAGGATAAGGCGTGGGTGGTGCATTATCAAACAATCGCATTGAAACAAACCCCCCCCGCAATGGTCGACATTGTCGAGATAATGGGATCAACCAGTACCCCTACCAGTTACTCGCCATTGTTTTGATAGTGGAATGTGGGTGACCTTTCAGCTTAGTCATCGTCGCCACTGCTGACTTATCATTAATCATCATCCGATACGTGTTTCACTAAGTGCTTCAAAAACTAGTCTTTTTTTCAGAATGGTTTAGTAATCTGGCAGTGATGACAAAAGTTGGTCGTCATTTCCCCTATTTTTTTTTTATATTTACCCAGGGTTAGCCTCTCTGCCGCAGGTGGGTGGCCACCTCCCAACAAATTACGGGGTTTGGTATTACGTAATGCGAGGCTGAACTTTCGTCCCATTACGCTATCCTCACCACCGCCACCTTGATATCGGAGCTCGGCGCCCTCGGGGTGGGGAGGTTAGAGGTTACGCAGCCCTGGTCCCTGGTGGCGACGGTGGCGAAAGCCCACCACTCCCAGGCCCCCAAAAGGGGAACTCCGAAGTTAAGATATATATGCAGCACCCCTTAACCCCCGGCTGACCCCGAGCGCCACACGCAACCCCCCGGCGGCGGCCGGGGCCACCTGAAACAAAACAAAGAACATCACGCCACCACCCACCGCACGTCGACGTACCCCATATGTACCCGGTACGTACTCGGTACATACCCCAGATAATAACATCGGCGGTGGTGACCTGTCACACCCGTGGCCGCCCTTGTCCATGTGCCCCTGACCGTTTAGGTTAACGCAAATCCCCTCATCTGGTGCCTTTCACGTGGCGCTATATCCTCATCAAGGTTATACCTCGAGCCAAAACCGTTAGTGGCCTAATTCACATGCCCGTGGTGTCCCCATCTAGATATAACCCACCCCACGGCGCTATACTTTCCCCCCACCCTCCTTAAAACTATCAGAAAAATACTATGGGGAAGGCTAAATACTACGACCCAAACACCGCTGCCTACCTCGACCCGAACAATGACCGCCGGGTGGCCGTCATCACCGGCGGCGCTGGAGGCCTCGGCTGGTACACCATCCTCCACTTGTACCTCCACGGCTACGTGGTGTACATGGCGGCAAGAAACCCGTCCAAGGTGCAGAAGGCAATTGACGAAATTAAGGCAGAAGCACACAAACGGTCTACGGGCCATACGTTTGGCGAGATCAACCACGTGCAAATGGACTTGATGCTGTTGGACTCGGTGAAAACGGCGAGCCAGGAGCTCGCTAAAGCGGAGCCGAAGATCGACATCTTGATTAATAACGCCGGCATCATGGGGGTGCCGTTTGACGTCACCAAGGACGGCTACGAAGTGCAGTACCAGGTGAACTTTGTCGGCCACATGCTCTTGACGGAGCGGCTCATCCCCAACTTGGAAGCCGCCCCTGAAGCCCGAGTGGTGTTCCTTTCTTCGGTCGGCCACAACTTCGCCTACACCTACTTTGACCCCGCCAAAAAAGTCAACCGGTGGCCCAACGCGATGTGGACGTGGGTCCGCTACGGCAACGCCAAGGCGGCGGAGATCCAGTACGTGAAATACATGGCGAAACAGCACCCGCGGATCCTCTGGCTTGCGGTGCACCCGGGGATTGTCGGGGGTACGGCGTTGTACGACCACTGGACGAAGCTCCCCGTGTTGGGCCCGATCTTTAATGCCACCGTCAAAGCTGCTGACGCTGTCGGTGGTGTTTCCGTTGAAGAAGGTTCTCTCTCTAGTCTCCGGGCGGCGCTTGACCAGCTGTTGACGGCGGCTAAAGATAACGGCAAGTACTTGACCACAGGGGGACCGGAGGGGTGTGCTCTGGGCGTCGCCAGCAGTGCTAAGAACGCCGAACGAACCGTCGACTACAACTACGAACAGCTCAAACGGAAGGGGTTCTTGTGAGACAGACTGTGTGTAGTATAATCAATGTGTTCTGATGCCAGTGTAAGCCATCTTCAATCGAGTATATAGGCCTACAGCCAGCCACAGACTAGCCACAGAGTGAATAGAGGTCGTTGTACGAGGCCACTTGTGAGTTTCATTTTTTGACATCTACGGCACAGTCCCTTCTGTGCTGTCCTTCGCTAATGACAAGCGCAATGGATGCCAAGCTCAATCAATCCTCAAGGTCGAGTGATGGAAACCGTCTGGCAGATTGAACCGGTCGATTTTATAATGCACTGCAACTGTTAGCCCTTATTCCTTGAAGCCAGGGGAGTACAAATTGATCGTGTATTCACTAATGGCACTGCACCCTTCAATCCCCTAGTGAACTTGGTTCCAGCAATGGTGCTACGCATCAGTCCCCTGACTAACCTTTAAAACTCACCTGCTCCGCTTGTGCCAGTCTATGTGAATCTATCCATGCCGTATTCCTTCCTCGAGTCTTTCTCTTATCGCACTAGGGGGGGGGTGCGAAACTTTATCGTGCCGTATTTGTGCCACACTCACCCCCTACTTCCACCACGATTGTGCAATTGCGGCGCCATGGCCAACTATTACGATCCGAATACCGCGGAATACTTTGACCCCGCTACCACTAGAAAAGTGGCGGTGGTCACCGGCGGCGCTGGCGGCCTCGGCTGGTACACCATCCTCCACTTGTACCTCCACGGCTACGTGGTGTACATGGCGGCGAGAAATCCGGCTAAAGTGGAGAAAGCCATCGCCGATATCAAGGAAGAGGCGGCAAAGAGGGCCAGCGACCATCCCACGGGCGAGATTCATCATGTGGAGATGGATTTGCTCCTGCTTCAGCTGGTGAAAGAAGCTGCCGAAACTTTGGCGAAAACCGAACCGAAAATCGACATTTTGATCAACAATGCCGGTATCATGGCCGTCCCCTACGAGATCACCAAGGACGGCTACGAAATCCAGTACCAGGTGAACTTTGTCGGCCATTTACTCCTCACGACAAAGCTTTTGCCCAACTTGGAGGCGGCCCCGGCTCCCCGGGTGGTGATGCTTTCGCTGATGGGGCACAAGGCTGCCTTTAAATACTTTGACCCCAGCGATACCATCAACAAGTGGCCTGACGCTGCCTGGACTTGGATCCGTTATGGGGTAGTAAAAGCCGCCGAGATCCAATACGCCAAGTATATGGCGGTTCAACACCCGCGGATCCTCTGGATCTCTGTCCACCCTGGTATTGTTCCCGGCACCAACTTGTTTGACCCGTGGAAACAGGCTCCGTTGCTTGGTCCCATCGTTGGAGCGTCGACCAGGTTCCTTGATTCTACAGTGGGGGTAACCAACGAACAGGGGCTGTACTCGACGCTTCGAGCAGCGCTTGACCCCACTTTGCTGCCGGAAAAGGATAACGGCAAGTATTTAAACACTGGTGGTTCCGAGGCGACGCCGACCCTGGTGGCGAGCGACGCCAACAATGCTAAACGGACAGTGGAGTATAACCTTGAACAATTGAAAGCCAAGGGCTTTTTGTAACGACACTATTTATTCAATATGACGATTTTGCTGAAGACTGAACTATCATGAAAATTTCAGATAAAACGAATTGCTCAATTGAGAGAACTTTGTAATTATCGATGAGTTCGTGTCGATGCCATAGCCAGTTTCTCCATGGTGGCGTGATCGGCAATCTTCAAACCGACGCTGATGTTGCTTTGGTCGACTTTCCCCAAATTGCAATGGCTTCCTAGAGTACCAATCTAAGAAGTAAAAACAATTAAATTGAGGCCAGTAATGAGTCACCATGAAAAATACCAAATGAATCAAATATCTTTTTGCTAACATAATGTTTTCTAACCAAAGCATTGACTATTCTCACATGGGAGATCGAATAACGAAGTTCCCGTTAATACCAAAAAATGGGCCAATTCACCATTCACCAGCCCACATAAATACGGCTTACTCCTCTCTACTCAATTTTGCTCCACTCCATGCCCTACTACGACCCCACCACTGCCGAGTACCTTGACCCCAGCGTCACCCGCAAAGTCGCCGTGATCACCGGCGGCACTACGGGGATCGGGTGGTACACCATTTTGCACTTATACCTCCACGGTTATGTGGTGTACATTGCCGCCAGAGACCCCATCAAAGTGCAAAAGGCGATCACCATCGTCAAGATCGAAGCCACCAACCGCAATTCGGGCCACCCGGTGGGCGAGCTCCACTACGTCGAGATGGACTTGATGCTGTTGCTGCTGGTGAGCCAGGCAGCCGAGAAGTTGGCGATGTTTGAGCCGAAAATCGACATCTTGATCAACAACGCCGGCATCATGGCGGTTAAATACGCCCTTACTGAAGATGGCCACGAAGTGCAACGCCAGGTGAATTTCGTGGGCCACATGCTTCTTACGATGAAGCTCTTACCGCAATTGGAGGCTTCCCCCGCCGCCAGAGTGGTGTTTGTGTCGCTGGCGGGCCACAACTTCGCCTACCGCTACTTCGACCCCACCGACAACATTGAAGGGTGGCCCGACGCCCTCTGGACGTGGGTGCGTTATGGCAACGCCAAAGCCGCCCAGATCCACTTTGTCCGGTACATGGCGAGAGAACACCCCCGTATCCTCTGGCTCGCGGTGCACCCAGGCACCGTTGCCGGCACCAACTTGCTTGACGCCTGGAAGCAGAATTTTGTGCTTAGTCTCGTGATGACGGGTATCGCGAAGGCGGTGGACTATACCGTGGGTATCACCAATGAGGAAGGGCTGTTGTCGACGTTGAGAGCAGCTTTGGACCCGGAATTGCTGGCGGAATCGGATAACGGTGTGTATTTGCTGACTGGGGGTGTGGAGCTGTCGCCGCTGGCAATGGCACGCAGTGGTGCTAACGCTCGGCAGACAGTCGAGTACTACCTCCAGCACATGAAGGAAACGGGTTTCCTTTGAGTCGTTTGTGTCTATGTGTAATGCATCGAAAACTCTGTCAATTGACGTGCACCTGCATGACGTTGGACCCTGTCGTACTTGTAAATTTCACTGACTCGCATAAGCTACTGAATCTGGTAACCTCCGAGGTAGGCTCTGACACCACCTCCATTTTGAGTCAATTATACGACGAACAAGCATGAAAACTACCTATAATCTGAAGGAGACGAATAAATTTTATCAAACCATCTAATTCAATTTAAATCTTCGGATGGTTCATTCAAATTGTTGGTTACGAACCATAAAAGCAATTAACATCTATAGCTTATCAGGGGATACCTCGGGAATTTGCCACCATTCGAATACTCAATGTCCCAGTTATACGACCCCAACACGGCTGTCTATCTCAATCCAGCCGTCAATCGCAAGGTGGCGGTGGTCACCGGGGGTGCCGGTGGCCTCGGCTGGTACACCATTCTCCACTTGTATCTTCATGGATATGTGGTATATATGGCAGCAAGAAATCCGGCTAAAGTGGAGAAAGCGATTGCTGATATCAAAGCGGAAGCCAAGCGAAGATCGCCAGGTCCTACGGTGGGGAAACTTCACTTCGTGGAGATGGACTTAACTCTGCTCCAACTGGTAAAAAATGCCGCTGATACTTTGGCGAACAAGGAGACGAAGATTGACATATTGATCAACAATGCTGGCATCATGGCTGTCCCGTATGAGATTACTCAGGATGGGTATGAGATTCAGTACCAAGTGAACTTTGTGAGCCACATGCTTTTGACCCTTAGGCTTCTACCCCAATTGGAGGCGTCCCCATCACCCCGAGTAGTGTTTGTGACGCTGTTGGGCCACTATCTTTCTTACCGCTACTTTGAACCCAGTGATACCCTCCACTACTGGCCGGATGCTCTCTGGTCGTGGGTGCGCTACGGGGTTGCGAAACTGGCGGATATCCAGTTCACTAAGTATATGGCTAGGGAACACCCTCGCATTCTCTGGCTTTCAGTGCACCCGGGGATCGTGCCTGGCACCGACTTGGCTGCGCTGTGGACCCAGGGCCCTGCGTCAAGCCAAGTTTTCACCCGTTTAAATCTGGTGATTGCCTCTACTTGGGGCATTAGTAACGAGCAAGGGTCGTTTTCGACCCTTCGAGCGGCTTTTGATCCGCATTTGCTGGCGAAGGGGGATAATGGCAAGTTTTTGACTACGGGAGGCGCCGAGGGAAGCGTGCAGTGGGTGGCGAATAATCCCGATAATGCTAAGCGGACGGTGGAGTACAACGTCGCCCAGTTGCGGGCCAACGGGTATTTGTAGCCTGTGTAATTCTTGTTTTGTGATGACTTATACGTTGTTCAAACAATGCTATTAACAAAAATCAATTGATCAAAATACAGACATGTTGGCACAATTGTAGTCGATATTCGTGCGATTTTCAAAAGTTTGAAATCGTCGTGCAAATATCAAAATGTGAAAATTCAAAATGTGGGTTTGCGGATGGTTTTTCGTTGCAAAAATTGCGATACGCCTACGGCAAGTCCCAGGCAAACGAACGCCAATTTCGTCAGATTGCAATTATGATAGAATCACGTCAATCACAGTTCGATCGTCATCATATTGGATTAATTTTACTTAATTATCGACCGCGTTATTCACATGTAATCAGCGTGTAACTCGCTTACGTGGGGGGCGTTCGAGCCTGCTTCGGAAGCAGCCTCAAACGCGAAAGTGCCGAGTCAACCAGCGCGCACATTACTCGATTCGTCAGGGCCCCGAAGAGAGGCAATCCCATACCTTAATCGACAGCATTTGACAATTACTTCCCCACAAATGGCGACGTATAAGTAGCTTATCGTCCCGGAGCCCCTCTAATATCAAAAATCGAAAAAAACACCTCGAAAATGCCGTTCTACGACCCCAGTGCTGCCGCCTACGTCGACCCAGCCACCAACCGAAAAGTGGCCGTAATCACCGGCGGCGCCGTCGGTCTCGGCTGGTACACTATTTTACACTTGTACCTTCATGGCTATGTCATCTATATGGCGGCCAGAAACCCGCAAAAGGTGCAAAATGCCATTGCTAACATCCAAGGAGAAGCCACGCGGCGAAACTCTCGCCACCCGTTGGGAGAAATCCACCATGTGGAGATGGATCTCACCCTGTTGAAGCTGGTGGAGCGAGCGGCAGACCACATTATCGCCACGGAACCGGAAATCGACATTTTGATCAACCATGCCGGCATTTTAGGCGTGCCCCACCAATTGACCGAAGATGGCATTGATATCCAGTACCAAGTGCACGTAGTGGGCCATATCCTCTTAACCGTCAAGTTATTACCCAACTTAGAGGCAGCTCCAGCTCCTCGCGTGGTATTTGTGTCGCTGATGGCTCATTTCCAGGCCTACCGTTATTTTGATCCCACTGAAGTTATTGACGGTTCACCGGAATTATTTTGGTCTTTAGTCCGCTACGGGCTGGCGAAGACCCACCAGATCCATTTCGTTCGAGAAATGGCGACACGGTACCCGAAAGTGCTCTGGTTGGCAGTGCACCCGGGGCTTGTCGGCGGCACTGATATCGTCAACCACAAGAAACTGGCTCCCGGTACCGGCCAGGTGTGGCAGTATTTGCTGAAGCTCGTTGACCATACCATTGGCGTGACTAACGAGCAAGGCCTGGCCTCAAGTTTAAGGGCTGCTCTTGATGGAGATTTTCTGGTGGAGAAAGATAACGGCAAATACTTATCGACGGGGGGCCACGAAGGGTGGATTCTGTGGATCGCCAGTGACCAGCAGTTTGCCCAGCGGACGGTCGAGTGGAATTTAGGGCAATTGCAGCGAAAGGGGTTTATTACTCTGAAATAGACTGAATGGTTCCACCTCTAACTCGATAGAAAGATCGGTAATTCGTTCGTAGTCACAGCAATTATATAACAGACACTGTTGGTGATTACAGAAGCATACGGACTGCTTAAATGACGACTTTCAGTGTAGTGATCTGCTTATTGTCTTTGCTTTGCGGTGCTGATTCACGCGGACGCCATGCACCGACAGCCATGGCTGCAAAAACCGCCCGGGGGACACAACTGTCGGTCGCTGTCTGCCTCCACTGGCAAAATAATAGTACTCTAGACTTGAACGCAATCGGAGTTAAGTAGCAGCGCTCAACATCCCCTTCCGCGAGGTCACCCACTGATATTACCAAATAAGTGACCACGGTCCCCTCAATGTCAATGGTATCGTCCAAATTGTGTCCTGACGTTAATTAACTACACAAATAGTGAAACTTATCCATCTCAATTAGCTCTGCTTCTGCTTCTTTAGCCTCTTAAAGTTGGCATTGCCATGCCTCGTGGGCTGGCCTTATCGACAGTGTGGCCCACGCTCGTGACTACCCCGATAGGTGCCTCACACTTCCCTTTGGCCCCCCCTTGATGGAGGTATCGGTGCTAGTCACGCCAGCAGCATTACCCGCTCTCCCCCTATTCTTACTACCAAAGACAAAAAAGAGAGATGCTAAATAGTGACTCCAAACAGACGCTTTTAGTTTGTACGTGACAACGAAGATTAGCCGAAACAAAAGCAAAGCCACCGTCGTCGCCAGCGGAGGGCGGGGGCCACCGTGAATGACCGTTTAGCAGACGTCACGTAGACGCCACTCTCACTATACTATATTGAGGTGAGGAGGCTCCAGGGCTGCACAACCAGTCATATATACCCGCCTGGTCCACACGCCACACGGCTTATCAATACACCACAAATTACATGTTATTCAAGTTATTAAAGTGAGTATCACTCCAATTAAAGCCCATTGTGTTTCAATTTCACTAACGTTAGCGTGCTTACCGGGGTGGTGTTCCCCGTGTGGGGGCTGTACCGGCTGTTTGAGGCCTATTCCACGGTGGCCAGGCGGGTGGCGCTGGCCCATATCCGAGTCGGCGGGGTTGCCGTGCCCATTGGTGCCTTATTCTCAATGGAGGGAGCGCTGGCTGCTGACCAGCAACGGCTCCAGGGCGCCCTTATCGATATTCAGAAATGGTTCATCTACTGGGTGGTTTACGCGCTGTGGGAAGCAGTGGAGGCAGCGCTCTGTCTCCCGCTGATAATCCCCGTTTACGATTTATGGCGCTGGGGCCTCAGTGTGTGGCTCGTGCTCCCCATGGTGCTACGCCTGGAAGGCGACGATAGTGGGCGTGCTTTCGATGAAAGCGCTGCCTGGGTGGCGTTCACCCAGCTGGGAGCCGGCTGGTGCTATTTCCACTACGTGAAACCGGCCATAGCTCACGTGAGCGATAAGATTAAAGTGGATTTACCCCTGATTCCAGCCAATATTCCCGACTTTGTGTCGCTGGTAAGCCAGGCCAGCCAAGCGCCGTCCAGTGTGGCCAGTGGTAATCGCGGTCCGACCAACTCGCCGCCTCCACAAGCTCCCAGCCTGGCGCTGCTGGCAATGGAGGCGGTGTTCGACTCGCTGTACGTGATGGTCAATCAGCTCAAGGAGAGGTTCGTTAAGCCCAACGATGAGTCAGTGGAGGAACCATCAACCGAACCATTACTAGCTGAAACTGTTAAGGTTTCTGAGGCTAACGATTCAGGCACCAAGGAGTCAGACACGCTTTTGGCATCGTCAAACGAGACTTCTCCCGCTACGAAGAAGAAAAAGGGGTGGATCTGGTAATTGCCCCTCTGTATACGCTAATTATATTCTTTTAGAAGCTATTTACAAGTTCAAATACTGCTCGACGGCGTCGCGGTCGGCGCGCATGTCCATCAACTTCGCCATCTCCGCCACTCTTTTCTTCATCTTAGGTTGCTTGTGTTTAGGGACAAACTGTTGCGGCAATCTCACCTCGTCGTATAACCCGTCAAACGCCTCCTTGGGTTTAAGCGAGTCGGCGCCGACACGGTTCTTTTCCAAGATCGCCTTCATCTCCTGCTCGTGTTCCTGTTTACCTTCGGCGACGATCTCGGGGTCGACTTCCGGCCACACAAACGGCTCGGCCATGTCCACCGTCATCTTCTTGAACTGGGGGCCGCGGTAGCGCCCGTAGTCGTCGCCGCCGCGCTGCCACTTGGCGTGCAACAACTGGACGGTGACGTTCAACGCCCGCAACCCGTACACGTGCCACAAGTAGTCCCTCAAGTCCATCTTGTTGAAGTTACGGGGCACCAAGAACTTCGCCTGGTACGGCAGGTGCTTGGCGTTAGGGCGCAAAAGACACACTCTCGCCTTGGGGAAATACACCGACTTTTCACCGACGCGGAAGTGGGGCTTCCCGGTGGCGATCTCGTCCTGGAACCGCTCGTAGTTGCGCCGGGCGATCTCGTCCGACCGCAGACGGAACTTGATCGGCACCGGCTGGTTCTGTTGCTGGTAGCGCTGGCGGATCTCTTCCAGCGGGAATAGCGTCTTCGTCGGCAGCTGCGAGAGCAACGGCGCCCGCTGGCGGCGGAACCCGTAGCGCGGCGGGTTCATCTCGACATCGTTGACGTTGACGTCGGGGTACTTGCGCCCCCGCGGCACGTAGTGGACGCCTCGAACCAGCTGGGTCCACACACTCCGAAGCCAGTTCATCGCTGGTAAAGTTTTTCGTGCGCCGCCTGAAAAGTGCGACCAGGTGGTGGTCACCGGCGACAGGTATATTTAGGGTCCGAAAATATCATTGATTTAAATAGCTACACCTGTGATTGATTTTGATAGGTTTCAGCCACAAAAGAAAATTTGAATGAGACTATTGCTTGGTGGGTAGATGGTAAAGCATTTCTAGTATATCGTATAAGGTGCGCACTAACAAATACTACCGCAGTTGAAATTATATGATCATTAAGTATTAGCCTAGCAATTGTCTCTTTAGCCTCGTCCTCTTCAAGTAGTCCATCAGCATCACTGACGCCACCACTGCTGCTCGCACTTCCGGCAGTTGGCCGTTAAATATAAATGCATGGGACCGGCGGCCGCCGCTAACGGCACAACTAACCTCAATACGACCATATTCTTTGGGCTTGATACATTTAAACGGTTTAGCCAGCACCACACTCGGTGCACCCGTCCCGTAAACTTCATTCTCATGGATCATCAGGTACCGTCTCTGGCCATCTGGTTCTTCAAAGAGAGAACCGACACACTCAAATTTGTGGTCACCATAACCGGTAACTACTGGTAGATAGATCCTGGAAGTAGGAGCTTCGACGGTTACCCTCATCACCAACCGGCCTTCGTCGTCGTGATAGTCATGGAGCAGTTGGTGGCCATGGTCTCGTTGGGCCATATAGCCTAGGCGAGTTCCCGTGCCGTCAACGATACCGTACTGAACCAGTACTGCCCATGTAGACGTAGCCGTAGGACGCCACAGTCTTTGATCTAGTTCAAACACTTTAAGTTGAGGACTGGTGATCATGGGAGTGTCCAAATGGAAATAATCGTAGATCTCTCCTGGAGTAACCGTAGCAAATTCTGAGGTAACATCACTAGAAATACGTTCTCCAGCCACTTCATCACGTTCCCATCCCAGGGTAGGCACTCTTGGAGGCAGCAGCAATGTGGTAGCCGTGGGCAACAGACCGAGACGCCAGCCGACAAATGCCAATATTATCGCTCGAAATCGATACAGCATGCGTGCCGTATTGACCACACAATCTCCGGGAGCATAGCAGCCGATATTGGCGACGCTAGGACCGCGGTAGCCGTCAGCATCGACCATAGCCACCGCCCACTGGTGCTTTGTGGTAGTCATTGATACGCGAGCAAACTCGTGGTATTCCCCATTTTTAATCATTTCGAGGCTATAGCATTCTCCCTGAGGCAAAATAGACCCGATTATCCCCCGTTTGTTTCTTCCCAAACACACTAAGGGCGACGCCTCGTCGATTTGTACCACTCTCACCACCACGTCGCCAGCAACGGTAGTGATATCAATGAAACGGCATTTAGTAGAGCCGAGGGATCCTCGTTTATCCTCTATAAGCCCCACCAGTGGTAGATTGTGTGCTTTAACACGGTAAGTGGATACCAGCTTCCAATCACCCTCAGCCCTCAAATCACCCGTAGATTCAATGGTAAGCAGGTCACAGTTAAGTAAAGGATCACCAGCAAAGCAATCAGTAGCAGCAAACTTCTTTGGCTGGTCATAGTACAGCGCTAGCTCGGCTTTCACCAGACACCTTCTCAGGGGGGCATTTCCCCGTAAAATGTCACCGTACGCCGGAGGATCGTGGCTGGGGAACTCGGCCCCAGGCTCCGTCCGTCGTCGTCGAAGCTTAAACATCGATTTTGCCCCAGGAAATCTCGTATCTTCAGCCGCACACCCCTATATATAGGGTCCCGAGGGTGACTCTAGGGGCCACAAGAAAAAACCGTCCGAGAAATCGTCCGTCGGGGTCGATTCGGCGTTAGCCCATCCAATCCAATCCCTCAGGTGAAATCGTTTGATTTATGACTGCCCGCCTTAGCCCCAGCCAGGTGGTGTTTATTGCTGTTGACGATTAGTAATCGGAAAACAATGGTAAACGTCACCCTGTGACAGTGAGCCCCTCTTTGGAACCACTGAAAGCTTGAAACAGAGGCAGGCATAGATGAAAGTAAACCTTAGGGAATTAGAAGCCGAGGGAAACTGGGATGAATGAGTAAGGTTAATCGTGAGAAACACAGGTGGTGGAAGTAGTATAAGAGTTTCACAGGCTGGACTGAGATAAGCGCCACTCCTTGATTGTTTTTGAAAGACAATATCGGAAGTCAATAGCCTGAGTCATAGTCCCGTTAGAGCCGATTTTGTGACACCAGAACAAGCCCTTGTCTCATCGTCAATAACATTATTGTTACTCGCGTTGTTGGTCGCCACCCACTATGGGGCAGTAGACTCCTGGAAGACGCACTAGACACCCACTAAACCGCTTAATCACCATCTCAATACCATAAACAGGCTATAACTAAGCATTCTACGTGTCACTTTCACCAAATCAGCCTCTCTCCCCGCTGATTCCACGACCTTCTTCCCCGGTCCCGTCTCGTCGCCACCAGCGGCGAGGCGCGCGAAAATTCTCACGCCGGCTTTTCCACCCACGCCAGCGATGTCCGACGACCACCCCGACGTCTACGAGCTCGACGACGACAACCAGATCACCCCTGAGGACTGCTGGGCGGTGATCTCGCTGTTCTTCCAGGAGAAGGGGTTGGTGTCGCAGCAATTGGACTCGTTCGACGAGTTCATCGAGCTGACGATCCAGGAGTTGGTGTGGGAAGACCTGCGCCTCATCCTCGACCAGCCCGCCCAGCACACTAGCGACGACGACTACGAGAACCGCCGCTATGAAATTAACTTTGGCAAGATCTACATCTCGAAACCGATGCAAACGGAAGGGGATGGGACCACCCACCACTTGTTCCCCCAGGAGGCGAGATTGCGTAATTTGACCTACTCGTCGCCGATCTACGTGGAAATGACCAAGCGGGTATTCACCTCCGACGACCGCCAGCACCGTGGCGACACCGAACTCGACTGGGTGGAGCAGAAAATCGAAAACGAAGGCCAGCCCTCCAAAGTGTACTTGGGTAAAGTGCCCATCATGTTGCGGCTGAAGTTCTGTATGTTGAAAGACCTTGGCGAGCTCGAGTTCTACGAGTTGAAGGAGTGTCCCTACGATATGGGGGGTTACTTCGTGATTAATGGTTCGGAAAAAGTGTTGATTGCCCAGGAAAGACTGGCGGCCAACATCGTCCAAGTATTCAAAAAGGCGGCGCCGCTGCCGGTATCGCATGTCGCTGAAATCCGACTGGCATTGGAGCGGGGGCTGCGCCTCATCTCTTCGATGCAAATCAAACTTTATGGCCGGGAAGGGCTGCTGCTGACGAATAAGACGATCAAGGCCACCTTACCCTATATCAAAGAAGATATCCCCATTGTCATCGTGTTCAGAGCCCTTGGCGTGGTCCCTGACGGTGATATCCTCGAACACATCTGTTACGACGCCAACGACTGGCAGATGCTTGAAATGCTTAAACCGTGTGTCGAAGAAGGGTTTGTCATCCAGGAAAGAGAAGTCGCCCTTGACTTCATCGGGAGAAGAGGGGTATTGGGGATTCGGCGGGAAAAACGGATCCAGTACGCCAAGGACATTTTGCAAAAGGAATTATTGCCTAACATCACCCAGCAAGAAGGGTTTGAAACCCGCAAGGCGTTCTTCCTCGGGTACATGGTCAACCGGCTTTTGCTCGTCGCTCTTGACCGTAAGGAACCCGACGACCGTGACCACTTTGGTAAGAAACGGTTGGACCTTGCCGGCCCGCTTTTGGCGAACCTTTTCCGCATCCTTTTCAAGAAGTTGACCAAGGACATTTACAACTACATGCAGCGGTGCGTCGAGCTGAACAAGGAGTTCAACTTGACCCTCGCCGTCAAATCGCAAACGATCACCGACGGGTTGCGGTACTCGTTGGCCACCGGGAACTGGGGGGAACAGAAGAAGGCGATGACGCTGAGAGCAGGGGTCTCCCAGGTGTTGAACCGTTATACCTACTCGCTGACGTTGTCCCACTTGCGGCGGACGAACACCCCGATCGGCAGAGACGGCAAGATCGCCAAGCCGCGGCAGTTGCACAACACCCACTGGGGGTTGGTGTGTCCCGCCGAGACCCCCGAAGGGCAGGCGTGTGGTTTGGTGAAGAACTTGTCGTTGATGACGTGTATCTCGGTGGGGCAGGACCTGAAGTTGGTGGCGTCGGTGTTGGACGAGTGGGGGATGGAGCCGTTGGAGGACTACGTCCCCAGCAACTCGCCCGAAGCCACGAGAGTGTTCCTCAACGGGGTGTGGTTGGGTACGCATAGAGACCCGGCGATGCTTTTGGAGACGATGCGCCTCATGCGGCGGAAGGAGGAGATCCCCTCCGAAGTGCTGATTATCCGCGATATCCGCGAGCGCGAGTTCAAAGTGTTTACTGACGCCGGGCGTGTGTACCGTCCGTTGTTCATTGTTGACGACGACCGCGAGCTGGACAAGTTCGGCCACTTGAAGCTCACCAAGGAGCACGCCCGCCAGTTGGAGACCCCCGAGATCTTCGAAGACGAAGACGGAACTCCCAAGCCGTGGTCGCATCTCGTGACTAACGGCATTGTCGAATACGTCGACGCCGAGGAAGAAGAGACGATCATGATTGCCATGCTGCCGGAAGACCTCGAACTGCTGAGAAACGCCATGAACGGCATCGTCAAGACGGAGACGGAAGAGGAGATCGACCCCGCCAAGCGGATCACCCAGCTGTTCCTGGGCAAGAACCACACCTTCACTCACTGTGAGATCCACCCGCTGATGATCTTGGGGGTGGCGGCGCTGATTATCCCCTTCCCCGACCACAACCAGTCGCCGCGTAACACTTACCAGTCGGCTATGGGTAAGCAGGCCATGGGGGTGTTTTTGACTAACTACGCCGTGCGCATGGACACCATGGCCAACATCTTATACTACCCGCAAAAGCCGTTGGCCACCACCCGGCTGATGGAGTACTTGAAGTTCCGGGAGTTGCCTGCCGGGCAAAACGCTATCGTGGCCATTCAGTGTTACTCTGGTTACAACCAAGAAGATTCGATGATCATGAACCAATCGCTGATTGATAGAGGGTTGTTCCGCTCGCTTTTCTTCCGCAGTTACATGGACTTGGAAAAGCGCCAGGGGATGAAGGCGTTGGAGACGTTCGAGAAACCCCTGCGTCTGGATACGTTGAGATTGAAGCACGGTACCTACGAGAAGTTGGACGACGACGGGCTCATTGCTCCTGGTGTCAGAGTGTCGGGTGAAGATATCATCATCGGTAAGACTACTCCCATCCCTCCCGATACTGAAGAGTTGGGTCAGCGTACCAACTACCACACCAAGCGTGATGCCTCTACTCCCTTGAGATCGACGGAACTGGGGATCGTCGACCAGGTGCTCCTCACCACTAATGGTGACGGCGCCAAGTTCGTCAAGGTGAGAATGAGAACCACTAAAGTACCGCAAATCGGGGACAAGTTCGCCTCGCGGCACGGGCAAAAGGGGACCATTGGTGTCACCTACCGCCACGAAGATATGCCCTTCACTCGCGAAGGTATCGTCCCCGATTTGATTATCAACCCGCACGCCATTCCCTCGCGGATGACGGTGGCCCACTTGATCGAGTGTTTGCTTTCTAAAGTGTCGGCGTTGCGGGGTATGGAGGGTGACGCCCTGCCGTTCACCAACGTCACCGCCGAGGCGATCTCGCAGTTATTGCGTGCCGAAGGCTACCAGCTGCGTGGGTTTGAAGTGATGTACAACGGGCACACCGGTAAGAAGATCATGGCCCAGGTGTTCTTCGGTCCCACGTACTACCAGAGATTGAGACACATGGTCGACGACAAGATCCACGCCAGAGCCAGAGGTCCCGTTCAAGTGTTGACGAGACAACCCGTCGAAGGTAGACTGAGAGACGGTGGTTTGCGTTTCGGGGAAATGGAGCGTGATTGTATGATTGCCCACGGGGCTGCCGGTTTCCTTAAGGAGAGATTGATGGAAGCCCTGGACTCGTTCAGAGTGCACGTGTGTGGCAAGTGTGGGTTGATGCTGGTGATTGCCAACTTGAAGAAGAACCAGTTCGAGTGCCGCGCCTGCAAGAACAAGACGAACATCTACCAGATCCACATCCCCTACGCCGCCAAGTTGTTGTTCCAGGAGTTGATGGCGATGAACATCACCCCGAGATTGTACACCGAGCGCCTGGGGGTCACCGCCCGGGTGTAAACCGAGACAGAGAAAGATGAGAACTTTACCATAATGATGTAAACGAGAGTCAACATGTAATACGATGAGAAATTCAAGGAGTGTAGTATGATATCAAGAGAACCGATATATCTGAAGCCTGTAGCTGAACAGGAAATCACACAAGTCATTTCTGCTGTTCTTTATTTGTACATAGCTCACCTTGTTAAGTCAAAACAGAACTCCACTTGTATTTTGCATCAGTTAAAAGGTTGAGACACTTACAAGTTGAATACTCAAAACATGGTATCGTAGAACTTAAAGTCTAGAGAGTTTAAGATTATCCAAGTTTGTCCATCCATTTAATTTCAGGTTGAGAGAAATTTTTCCACTAGTGTTTTCTGTGATTGTAACAATCCGCGTGGGCTAATCAAAACGTAAATATTCTTCCGTTCTTCCCTTTGATTGACTATATACAAAATGCTTTATTGCGAGAACTTAGCGCGGAGCTCCTGGGCCTTGGCCTCGCGCTGTTCAAGCACCGCCATCTTCTGCTTCACCTCGGCCTGTTCGTCGGCAAACGCCACCAAGTTCTCAGTGTAAGGGTTTTCATGACCGTCGTACACTTTAAGCCGGTCCATACGCACCAAACGGTGCTTGTTCTTCGGCAACATCCCTTTGACGGCCCGTCTCAACACTTCTCCATGACCTTTATTGGCGATCATCCGGTCCATGGGGATCAAGTTAAGCGACCCCGGACGACTGGTGTGCGACCAATAAAGCTTCTCCGTCATCTTGTTGCCCGAAACTTTCAAATGGGCGCAGTTAGTGACGACGACGTAGTCGCCATGGTCACGGTTTGGAGTGTGCGTAGGCTTGTGCTTGCCCATCAACGTGGCGGCGATCAGCGCCGCGAGTCTCCCTAGGGTCCGCTTGTCGGCAGCCACGTCGACGTGGTGCCACACCCGGGTCAACGCCACCGCCAGGGTTCCGATTCTTTGGGACATCGTGGGTGCTGAAATTTTCGCACCCGCGATCGTAACTGAAGGACAAAGCGGACACAGCCGTAAGATTTAAAGAATGCCCACGAAATGACTTTGAAAGCCCGATGTTGTTCTAATTCGTCTATGTTTTAACTCTGTTTAATCTATGTTTCAAATTTTTTTGTTTTTTCATTTGTTCATAGTGCAACGGCATTTAGTCTATGGTACCGTATCTCTAGTGCACCTAGTCTATAAGCTATCCCCATCTAAAATGCATAATACCTTCAATCCTTGACTTAACGATCACTTTCAAAACGACAATTACATGTAAAATCCACTACTTCCTTGCCTCACTATCCCATCCTTAATTGTCAGTTTCTGTCTCCAACGTTGCACCACGCCGCGCGCGTTTTTCACCATCGAGTCGCCCAGCTTCCACCCGCCACGGTCCCCATGTTTTTCCTCAAGGACTTGTCGCTCAACTTGACGTTGCACCCGCTGTTCTTCGGGCCCCAGATGAACCAGTACTTGCGCGACAAGCTCTTGTCCGACGTCGAGGGGACGTGCACGGGCCAGTTCGGCTACATCGTGTGCGTGCTCGACTGTATGAACATCGACATCGGCCGGGGGCGGATCATTCCATCGCAGGGCAAAGCCGAGTTCGAGGTGAAGTACCGGGCGGTGGTGTGGAAGCCGTTCAAGGGGGAGGTCGTCGACGGCGTTGTCGTCACCGTGAACAAAATGGGGTTCTTCGCCGACGTCGGCCCGTTGCTGGTGTTTGTCCTGACCCACTTGATCCCCTCCGACTTCAAGTTCAACCCGCTGGCAAACCCGCCGGCGTACGTGTCTCCCGACGAGCAAATCGAGAAGGGTCTGCGGGTAAGACTCAAGATCGTCGGTACCCGTACCGACGTCAACGAGATCTACGCCATCGGGTCGATCAAGGAGGACTTCTTGGGACCCACCCCGAACTAGGGGATCTAACGACATTTGTACTATATTACGTGGAAGTATCACAGCAAAACTAGCTATATATTAATCGAGCGACATACCTAAATTAAGTGAATTACTTCGTTATGTATTGATTTCATACCTACTATCGATTATTAATCTCTCAGGGGTCATACTCATCATTACTCGTCGTAGTCGACTAGTCATCGGTTAAGTCGATGACCATTGCGTCGGCGGGGATCTGGCTGGGACGAGGGGGTTCGGGAGAATTCGGTGACGACGGAGTGATATCACCATCGACCATAGTATCGTCACCATCAAGTACCGTCAGAGCTATGGTGATGCCAAGCATGCCTTTGATCCGTTTAGGCGATTCGGAGGGTGGAGGAGGACTCAGTTTCCGCTTTCCTGGCAGCACCAGCCCCAGAGTAGCACCAACTGACGAATTGGACTGGGCAGCAACTGGTTGAGGTCTCGGTTGAGCCACCGGTGCCGTAGCCAGCCGATTATTAGCCTGAGCAGCAGCATGAGCAGTAGTCTGGGTGGTGGTTTGAGCTCTCGGTTGCGTGGGGATTTTAAGCTGAGGGCGAGGAGTCGTGGATGATGACGACGATGACAGCGTTGCTGGCTTTGTCGGCACCGTTGAAGTTAACCCGGGAAGCCGCGTGGATGAAGTATTGGGCCGATTGACGAACTTAGTCGTCGATCTAGGTCCCGTCGGCGGCGTAACCTTCCGTGGTCCAGTAGGCAAAGCGGATTTCAGTGGTCCCGTGGGAATCGCAGTTTTCAGCGGTCCAGTAGGCAATGCCGACTTCAGCGGTCCAGTGGGCGGTGGCTGGCTTAATCGAGGAACCTCTGGCAGCACTGAAGATCTCAACGGCAGTTCGCTTCGGGCTGTCGTTGTTGTCGTTGTCGTGGTACCAGTATTCAATTTGAGCGGCAGCGTCGGTAAACCTTCGGTAGACACAGCCGTTGCTTTGGGTGAAGTCGGTGCCGTCACAGAGGGAGTCGTCAGAGTCGGCGGCTGAGTCGGCGGTTGCGCCGACGGTTGAGCACCGCCCTCATTATTCAACGATAACGCCTGCGGTTGAGCCACAGGTGGACTCTCTTCCCGTGTTGGTTGAGTAGCAGGTTCCAGTGGTTGTGCAGGCAGAGTAGCACCTTCCAGCAGCGCCACCAGCAGCTGTTGTGGTTGAGTCGGCGCAGGAGCAGTAGTAGCAGTAGCCGTGGTCGTAGTAGGGTTAGCAGCGATAGCAGCATTAGTGGTAGCAGTAGCATCAGCAGAAGCGGTAGCTACAGATTCAGCTGGTTTCTCCGTGGTGGTCTCAGGTACTTGGGTGGGGTTAGTCACTGTAGGTTCAGTTGCCGTCACCGCATTACTCGTCTGAGGACTAGATTCCACTGGACGAAATGAGAATGCCTCATACACTTGATCCCGGACCGGTTCAGGGGCCTGCGGTTGTGCCGCCAGCGCTTGCACTGGCAGCGCTTGCACCACTGGCGACTGAGATACACTCACTTGCGGTGACGGTGCCAGCACTGCTGGCGACGACTGAGCGGAAACCCCCACGGGAGGCGACTGAACAGGCACTGAAGGCGATTGTACTTGCGGTGATTGAACTTGGGACTGAATCTGAGACTGAATCTGCATATCAATCTGAGCCACCCCTGGTAACGCCCCCTGAGACAGTTGTTGCCGCAGGCCATTGCTTACAGATTTGGCCGCCTTTTTCTGGCCGACAACCTGAGTTCTCAAATACGCTAGAAGCTGGTCCAAGTTTTCAGCAACGTTCCGCAAATAACTCTCGGTATAGTTGCGCTGAACCGGCTCAAAGAAGTACAGCCTTTCGATCTGTTGCAGCCGTTGCATTCTTTGGTTCTGGAACGTCGATTCCTCATTAATCCGTCGAAGTCTTTCTAACCCGTCCAGGTGGTCACAGGCTTTGTTAAGCGCCAACGCCACCTCAGCTCGTTTCGTCTGGAACAAGTGGTCGAGCTCCTGCATCTGGTTATAGTGGTACGCGATCTGCTGGGCCCGTATTCGGTTAAGCGCCTGCACTATCGGTTCAACGAACGTTTCCCGCAGAAATTTGGAGCGAGCACTCATGTAGGCATCAAACAAGTGCTTCAATTTCAATAGCAGTTCGCGGTACAGTCTCTCCGTCGCCATACGCAGCTGCACTTCCTTTTGGTAGTTCTCTCGCGTGATGAGTAAATTGCGAAGCGGGCCCGTATTAGCCACTGTCGGCGTCGATGGCTGAGAAGCAACAGCCGATTCGGGTGGTTGCGCGTACTGGACATACTGGACCGCGGGATGAGCTTGGAGGACGGGATTCACCGTATACAGTGCCGTCGCCTCGTACTGGGGCTGTTGAGCCTGCTGCTGGACGTATCCTTGACTCTGATACAGTGTGGGAGATGTCTGAGAACGAGCTGGTTGAGCCTGGACCTGAGGACGAGCCTGGACCTGAGGACGAGCCTGCTGGGCCTGTTGGCGCATCTGCTGGTGGTGTGATGGCGTGGCTGTTGCTGGCTGCTGCTGCTGTGGTTGTGTTGGTTGAGTGGACGTTGCTGGTGGCTGTTGGTACCCCAGAGCGGCAAATAACGACGCCTGCTGCCTTTGCGCCTGGTAGCGGGCCTGAGCGATAGCCACCGCCCGTGCCTGGGCCTGGGCTTGAGCCTGGGAGTTCACCAATTGCAGGGATGCAGTGGACGGCAGGGTCACCGCTGGCGGCAGTACCAACGATACCAGTTGCACCAGCGGCAGCCGCCCTTCATTATTGGCAGGTACCGTAGACTGAGGGGCTGCAGCAATCAGTGCCGTAGTCGTCTGGTTCATAGGTTGCGCTGATTGATTCACTGGTGAAGATGCCGTCGCCTTATTAGTAGTGGTAGTGGCAGTTTTCAGCGACAGCGGTTGAGCAGGACTGGTCGAAGCGGTAGAGTCACCCGGCACTCGTCGGGCTAAAGGGACGTCGTCTTCGTCGGCGGCCAACGACTGCAGTGCCGACTGCTGTGTTTGCGCGGTTCCCGTCAGCTCCCTTACTCCTCCGTTGGCCGCCAGCGGCTGAGGATTAGAGGGTGCCGGACGGGGCGCCAGCGGTCGCGGGCGTCGCAGACTGATGAAGATATTAGTCGGTGGTCGTCTGGTAGGGGGACGCGGTGCCGTAGGCGAGGGGTTCAGCGCAGAGTTTGGGGGGCGAGCCCCAGGTGGCATTGTGCTATTCAGAGTGGCCGCGGTAGTGGTTCGTGCCCTAACGGGTGACGGGGTGCGGCTTGGAGTAGGGGAAACTCCAGCTACGCGGGGTACACGTCCGATCGGCGTCTCAATAGCACTACCTTCCGGTTCCGGCGATGACGAGAGGATGCGCGGTGCTTGTCTTCTGGGGGACAGCGGCGGGTCATTCTGCGTCAGATGATCAGCCACGGCCGTGGTATTGGCCGCCGCTGCCACTCCGTCATCAACTTCCTCGTCTTCATCACTATCAAGACACACCACTTCGATCTCGTCAGCTTTCAGTTTTGGGGCGGGGGTGGCCGACAGTGCTGGCGGTTTAGCACCACCGTAATCGTCGTCGTCGTCGGAATCGTCCATCTCGATATCGTCGGCGACCCAGGAGCCATCGCTTTTGATGGTTACCGTGGTGACGTCTTCAGGACAAGTACGCAAGATCTCTTCAAAGTATTCGGACACGGCTAAATCATCCATCGACACTTTACGCCCACAATAAGGACACTGCCATTGGGGTAACTGGATCTGTTGTTGTAAGAACATGAGCCCATCAAAACACCCCGGATGATCGCAATAGATCAGCTGGATGGGGTATTTTAACCGGGTAAACATCACGGGATCTCTCAAGGGAACCAGCAGCGTCCCCATCTCGATATCATCATCACCAGAGCTATCACGTATCCGTTGGACAGTGGTATACTTGGCGATCTTCGGCTTTGCAAGGATACGCTCAAGCAACGTCTCCGCTGACACGACTTCAACAAAACACATGTATATGAGGTAGGCGTCGGTGGTGTTACAATACTGCACTTCCAAGTTGTTTCTGCGAGGAGTATCGACGATATAGTCGGTGATATCCGCTGGTTTCGCCGTGCCTGGTTTCCCCTTGATCCCTTTAAACAGCAGCACGTTAACATCGTTGCCATTTACGGATAGCCGTAACGGCATGGGGAACTCTACCGGCACCTCCATCGAGTTAGCCCCGCCCCTGGGGATGGCACCCGAAAACACAAACACGCGGTAGTTCTTATTCTGCTGGCACCGCTGGAACAATTTCAGCTCCTCGGCGTTAAACGTCACGTAGAATGGCACCCTAGCGTTCAGCAGCGTCGGCCGGCAGATCTGGGGACTCCCCAGCACCGTCTGGACCAAGTTATAGAACGGCGAACGCGTAAAGTAAACGCTGCTCCCAGTATAGGGGACGCTATTAGTAGCTGCGGGAGGCGGCTGGACCGCTCTTCGTACGGGTTGAGGCGTCACCACGCCCTCGACAGGGTTTTGGTGGAGTAACAGGAGATCCTGGCGACCGGTAGCAATATGGGAAGCAAGGGTAGCGGCGTCGGGAGCGTCGCGTCCGTTTTGCACCAAAAGCACCACCATCCGCAACGCCATGAGCTTGTGGTGGTCGTGGTGGTGCTGCTGCAACTGCTGCCACTCCTCGATGCGGTCGATGAGGTCGGGCTTGTTGCCGTTGATGCGGAGCCCCAACAGGCGGGCGACCAGTTTGAGCTGGGCCACTTTGAGCCAGCGGCTATATCGGTGCTGGGTGTCGGCGATCTCGTCGGCGCTGAGCGTCGCCGGGCGACTCATGTCGAGGGGGGGGGGGAGTTGTAGTAAGCTTGAAGCCACTCGCGCGCGGTCAAGGGTGTGGTCCCCAGGTGGTGGCGAGAGACCCGTATGAAACAAACCGGTGGTGGGATGTGTTTTAAGTATTGTTTTAAAATTATCTAGAAATGAAATTTCAAAAAGTCTTGATGGATATTTTAGTAGGAAACCATCAGATCCACGGATCGGGGGGCAGATACCGTTTAACCGTTACCAATTTTCCATAGTAAAAAGGCGCGCCGTGAGGGTGTGGCGCGTAACGCCCTATTAACGACGACAGAAAAAAATGAGGCGAATTGTAAGACGCGACTGGTAAGACATGGACTTTATGATCAACCTAGTACCCCATTGCAAACAGGTTGACCACTAATATTCGAATGGTCTATAAATAGAACATGCTCTTAATTCCGTAAAAACTCTTTTCTGACCACTCATTAGCGTTGTATTATGTGAAATCAAGTGGTATACTAGTTGAGATAGACAGACCGGGGCTATATTCCAAAAAATTTCGAGGCTGTCTTTCTCTACAACACAAGAGATATTACAAAATAAGATGTTTGGGTGTCTAATTTGTCATTTACTATCGTCGGTCGTATATGGTCATATCGTGGGGGGGTTGAATGTGGCCACCCCGAGCAATTCGGCAGCATTTCTCGCGTCGAGTTTATGTCTCGGCAGCCGCTTTTTCGGGGCCACGGCGCCTTGGTCCTCTAGCAGACGGAACGTGCGCAGTGACCACGCGTCGCCGCCTTCCAGCTGCGACTGAGGCAAATTGTGTTTGATATTGCTGAGATTATCTCTGTTCAAACGAGATAACCCGCCTTTGGCATCGACAAGCCGCACGTCAAGCCTTATCAGCTCTAAGTGCTTCAAAAGTTGGCGGTGATGGTTCACTTTCTTTAACGTATAGGTGCGAAGCATGCGTTTAAGTGTAATATCGGTGTGTTCCAATACTTGTTTCCGTTCAATGATCATTTCTCCCAGAATACGTCTCACTTGTAGAGCCATAGAATCTCTCGTCTTGGTGGCGTAATCAAGCAGGCGTAAGCTTTCTTCAACGCGTAACGGGTCTAACGTCGTCTTGGCTTTCATCTTGTTCACTTGAAGTTGCTTGGCATCGACTTGACCTTGAGCAGTATTCAATTCTCTCATAATCAAGTGACGGTTAGTCAACGCCTCTTTAATCTCGAAAAAGTCCTCCAGCATCAGATAGAGGCCGTCGCCAAGCGCTCCCATCTCGTTGGTGGCATCGGTCAACATGAGGTCCAGCTCCTTTACCGTGAGCGCCGCTAGCTTGTCCCATAAGTTCTTCATCCCCGGGTGGGTCTGTTCCGCCAGCCCCATGAGCTGGAGCTTATTGGCCAAGTCGTATACGTGTACCAGCACTTGCTTTTCCGCTTTAGCTCTGCGGTCAAGCTGTTTATGGAGTTTTTGTAACGTTAAGTAAGCTCCTTTAATCTGAGGACGAAACAGAGCAAGGGGCCCAATCGGGTCATAAGGAGGTGCTAATTGCTTCAACGTCTTTCTCATCAACCCACTAGGTACCGCCAGCTTCTTATTGTTATTAATCACTTGGTAACCGAAATCATTCTCGACAAAATAGACAAACTCTTCGTCACGGATAACAATCGGATTAGCCAGGATCCGGTCAAACCACTCTTGCCACACTTCCATAAGGTAATGGTGGCCTTCTTCTCCCGTGTAAGCAGTGTGTGCTGGAGGGATAACCGGGACAAAACACTCGAGATTGGCCCCAGTCAAATACTTATTAAACTTCACCATTTCCGCATAGGTTCGCCGGACATCCTTATACAGCTTTTGTCTGAATTTCGGGAGACCCGCCACATAAGCATTGAACTTTAAAATGGGGTTCCCCGGTCGATTTTTCTCAATCGCCGTAAGTTTAAACTTCAATTGGTGTTTAGCTAACCGTTCGGGGATAATCTGTTTGAGCACTCGTTCCGGCAAGTTTTCCGTGAATTCATCGCTTGTCAAATCGGTATCGGTAGCGGTAGTGTCGTTGCTAGCTTCACTGGCGTCATTGGCGGCGGTGGCGGCGTCCTGGAGCTGCTGTCTTGCCTCGCGCTCCCTTTGCTCCTGGAGAGCCCGCTCGTGTTCCTGGCGCTTCTGTTCCATCGCCTTGGTCACCTCGTCCACCAGCGGTGGCTGCGGTGCCGGCTCGGGCTCGGCAAACGGGTTATTGTTCTCGAAATCGTCGTCGTACGGTAGAGCCATATTGGGGCTACGTCAGTCGCGCACTCGTAACACTAAAGGCGAAAACCGATGAAACAGTGATAGTCACTCTACGAGAGAAAGGAGAAGCTATTTCCAGCTAGTAGAGATAATCTTATCTACTTATACTTGGATTGGTTTCATAGAGTGGCCTGATTGAGCAATCACATACACACGCCTTAACCGTACTACAATCCCGAATGTTTCTTTCGTCAATGCATTATATACAAGTAGATAGGGTCTATTGGACAGATGTGGTTTCACCAGCCTTGGTTTCGGCAACCGCTTCGGGGTGGGCTTCGACAGCTTCGACCTCAGCATTAGGGTTGACGAACTCCTCGAGGTAGCCTGATTCCTCCAAATCGACGGCGTTATAGTTCTCGCCGTACTCGACAAAATCAACAAGGTTCTGGAAGGCAAGGTCAGCGCTCTTGGCCCCGTCGTCGTAGCCAACATATTTCTGGTACACTTGAGGCACTTTAGGGGAAACCAACGCCTTAAGCGGGGTCAGGTGCAAGTCAGCGGGGACAACATAGGTTCTGACCTTGGTCCAGTCGACGATATACTTGCCGTCACGGTTGAGCTTACCGTAGCCCAGCGAACCCGTACCTTTGTAGTAGTGCTTGTTCCCCTGCTTGGTGGTGAGCGGGTGGCGCTTGGAACCGGTTTTGCCCATCCCGTACCATATCTGACCGTCCTTAAACGTCTGCCACGGGCGTCTGAGCGCCACCGCGGTCGTGGCCTGGAAGTGAGTGACAGCCGATGCCTTCATCGTGGTGGAAGAATTTTCGCGCACCACTTGGTAGACAAGAACGACGGCGAGACAACTAGCCGGAAATGTAGCATTATTTTATATCAAATCATTCAAGGTGGACAAGAGCTATTTTCATACTGGTTTCAGTTATGGCGTTGATTTTTGGTGGCCACTTTCGTCTGATTCCCAGCCATCTCCACTAGCGTGAGACCACCGTGCTGAAGTCCAAGAAGACCTGAGCTAGTGTTGAGGTCAAAATTCAAATAGTGGCGAAGATTTGTACACTGAGTCTAAGCTGGGCCCTCTTGGTGTTCCGAGTGCTGTCGGTTTGACGTCGCGATTAGTGGTAGATAGTGGTAGTTACAATGGGTATTTAAGCAGTAGCAATTCTCAATTTGTGTTTAAACAATATCGTGGGCCTAAGCAGTCTCCTTTTCTAGTACAGTGTGTATGTCATATAAACCAGTATGAATCATTTTGAATAGGTATGCCAGATACCCTTTTTTTTTTTTCTAGTCCATGAGCCGTTGTAAGAACCCCATGAACCCGGGTTTCCGCTTCTCCTCCTGCTTCGCCAAAAACTCATTCTCGTACTCGTCAAACTCTTGCTTCCCCGTCGTCAAATCGGCTTCCTCAGGCGACCGTACTTTAGTCCGCTTCAAGATCTTCCACGCCACATAAAGCACGATCCAGAATACGGGAGCGAAGTACAGGGCAAATAAGTCCAGCACCGTGAACTTCGAAGGGAAAAACACCCAAAACCCGTTGAAAAACAAGACCACCACACAAAAGCCACACGAGAAGTAGGCGACGTAATCGTGGAGCCAGCGGGGACCGCGGTAGTAAGGATACTCGGGAGAATCGAGCGGCGTACCTTGAACTGCCACTGCCTTCTTGAACTTGAAATAAATGATCCACAACAGCAAATAGGTACAAAGCATCCCCGTAGTGGACAAATTGATGAACCAGTTGAATACGACGTTAGTACCATCGTTACACGACAAGAAAGCCAAGCAACCAATGGCCAACGACATGATCAACGCGTAGATGGGAGTACCGTTCTTCAAGCACTTGGAGAAGAAGCGAGGAGCATAGCCAGCTAACGACGCCCCGTATAACGAACGAGTAGCCCCATAGAGGAAGCCGTTACCACATGAGAATGCCAGAGTTAATACGCCGGCGTTGACCACCAGGGCAAGGCCTTTCACTCCCAAACTTTGGATACCAATCACCCAGGGAGACAGCAATACCCCCGAGGACCCGTTCTCCTTTGCAGCCACAAGCACCGGGTCATTAGCAGCACAGATCGAGTTCATAAAGAAAATGCCACCAAAGTAAAATAAGCAAATGCGGAAGTAAGTAGCTCTGGCGGCCAGAGGCAACTGTTTACGAGGGTTTTCCATTTCCCCACCCAAAAGAGCAATTTGATCGGGACCACCACAAGCGAAAGCAGCATAAATCAAGACATTCCACCATCCGAGAAAGCGTCCTGTTGAGCCAGTGACGAGGAATTCTCGGAAAAGGCCGCCTTGGTTCCATCTCTTGAAACCAAGCACTTCGTTTTTGGGGTTACCACCACACATAGCCACGAGACCAAACATCATTAACCCACAAATAAGGACGATTTTGAGGAAAGCAGAGGCCCCTTCAATCTCACCGTAGTATCTTACACCAAAGATGTTAATGAGAAACCATACGACAATGGTAATGGCAATGAACACAGCCGGGTTGATATCCGTCCAAAACTGGATCACTGATGCCACCCCCGTAGCTTCGAGGGCAACAAACATCATACAAGTATAAGTATAAATGTAGTTCACAGCAAAACCAAAAGCAGGGTCAACAATCCGTGCCCCCAAATGGAGGAAGCAACCGGGGATTGGTAAATACAGCGAGAAGGTAGCAGCAGCAAAGATTAATGGCATCACCCCGAATGTCAGCCACACGATGAAACCAAGTAATAATGAAAGCGACCCCAGGGTATACAATGGCAGCCCCAACCCAATAAACAAGCCGGTACCGATAGTTTGACCAATGATCATCAAATTAAGATGACGCCCCTTTAATCCTCTTTTCGTCTCACCATATTTGTCCTTATCCAACTTGGCGTGGAAGTCCTTAGGCGGTTGTTTGTCGTCACTATATTCCAGCGTTTGTTCGATGTCATAGCTCACCTGAGCCTTCTCTTTATCGATTCCAAACATGTTTGGCAATTAATTAAAGAGAGAGTTAAAAGTAGCGGAAGTTGCCGTTTTAAATCGTTTTTGGGATGAACCCCACTCCAGTTATCGTACCAGGGCAAGACGTCACTTTCATGGCTGTGGGTGCGTTAGCGGCTATGCAGTCGATGGATCTAGTGGACGCAGATCCTGCAGCTAAACGTGTAATTCACGGCTTATCATTATCAGACAACCGCACGCCAGATAGCCCCCTGTCGATACCACGCCAGATAGCCAGCCGCTAAATGCAAGATAGAGTTGATCAGACTGTGGAGGATACATGGATGACCCTGTTTGGCTCCGAGTTCGGAAACCTCCTCTCCTCTTTTTGGTCGTTTTCGTGATGGCCCCACTCGCTGCCAGCCGCGCACCCCTCACCGAATGTGGGGTAATATAAGCAGTGGAACGTGTCACCGTCAAGCACACCTAGCCGCTGGCGGCATGAGCAAATCAGTCACAATCTGAGTCTCTCGTGAATTATACGAGCAGCCACTGAAATGCATCAACAGCGAGAATTTCATCTGATATCAACATTGCAAATTTCGCATGTTAAAGTCCATAGGATATGGTACTGGTTTGCGGAAATGGTCCTGATGAGACGGGCGCGGGGTAAAGAGGGGAGGAGCAATGAGACTTTCACGGCGTTTACTCCGACGTGAACTGCTTGAATCTATTGTATATATGCCATTGTCTAATGCTGAGTGAAAATTGGGGGGGAAATTTCCAAAGGTGCTATGCTGGCGGCTTTTCGCCGATGTCGGGCAAGTGGGCGATTTCCCGTTTAACGTAGGTCATCTCGTCCGCAAAGTTTGGGTCTGATTGTGGCGGGTTGAATCTATCGAATAGCGCGATGAACTGGTGCTTATTTCTGATTAAAATGTCCAATACTTTCTGGTTCTTCTTCGGCTTAGCCACAAAGTATTTGAACAAATTAAATGCATCCACTCCCAAATTGCGCAGCTGATCATTTAAGTTCATCATCACCACTTTCAAATTGGTAGGGTCATCAAAGTAGCGCGTGAGGAATTGCTGGTTAGCCCTCTCCTGGACTAACGTCAGAATGAATCTCATCGCACTACGTTTAAACACGTAGTTTTGACCGGTGATCATCACGTTAATGTGGTGGACAAACTTATCGTAGTTGGCCACGAGCCATGCCAGCGCCATCGGTTTATGAGTAGTAAGACAAAACTTTATCGTTGAAAAGATATCGTTAGCCACTTCGAACACCGGGTACCGAAGCACCACGCCAAACCACTGCCAGAATTTTGGCTGGCTCATCACGTAGCCACATACGGGTTCGTATTTGCAGCACTCGCGGAGAATCAGGCCCGCTAGAAGCCCCACGTCGCTGTCGTCACAACTGTTAATGAGAGCCTGGAGGATCTCTGGTCGCTGGTTAACCATATAGTCACCGGTGACTTTGATTTCCGCCCGTTTGGGGAACGTGGTCGCCGGTCCTCGTCGCATCATCGCCGCAAATACCATCGCCGTATCTTGTCTCGAATCAAACTCAAGCTTACGTAAGTTGGTGGCAAGCAAATATAACAGGTCGTGGTGCTGGAGTTCGTCTCCCAAAGCCTGGGCCTGGTCGGGAACCACCTCGGTGTCGTCATCACCGTAGAAGATCACCTTGATCTGTTTGAGATAACGGCCACACTCCTCCGGTCCCGTGCCCTTTTTATCGTCGAGCTTGGCCACCAGATCATTAAAAGCTCGTACGAGCTCGCCGGGAGTCTTGGGGTTGCGTTTAAAGAGAAACGCCATGGTGGTACCTGGGTGCGGGTCGATCCTCTAGCGTGGGGATAGTGCGCGATAGAAGGGGGGAGATCAGAGAAGGATATTTAGGATTTAGCAGTGTTTCAGGAGTTTGGGTTTATTACTAGTGAGACTATTAAGTAAATGTGAGTTGTGTTTGATGGTTTCCATTGAGGAAGGTACGCGTAGTGGGCATTTGGGGGTATATTCTTCGGTATTTGTCATCAACAGAGTAACAGTATTTCGATTCCCAATCATCATAGAGAAAAGCTCTTTTGAATACAAAACTAATAATAGATTTACTATCCCTGATATCGGTGGCGATGAGTGATTTTTCACTCGTTGTTTCCCGCCCCCTAGTCGTCATTAGCAACGACCGAGCCCGCAACCAGCGACGCGCCCCCGAATCGAGTTAATTTCGTCGGCGAGTAGACGGTACCCAAAGGAGGATGACTGAGTTGAAATTGAAGTGGGATTCGTACTGAATTCAGATGGTATGATCCCCGTTGGATATTTCGTCTTAGATTTCATTTTCTAGGTTTTTACAAATTTACCAAATAGTGGAGATTATCTATACAAATTCGTATGGAGGCACACTGATACTCATGGTAAACAATATGTGATTCTGCTCAATTCTTACAGAGTAAGAAATATACTATTGCTAGCGGGATAAAACAAATCCCATTATTTAAGAAAATGAATTGATCATATCTCTCACTCCTTACTTCCTTCACATTGACACAGAGATCAATTATAACTACGATTCAAGCGAATATATCAGGCAAATCATGACATTATTTATTTTGATTTGAAACAGTTTCGTCTTCCTGAGATGAATGAAAAAACTACAACAATCATTGAAACGGATCGACTCGTACCTTTGTCTGATTCCCATCCACTGTTTCTACACCTCTCGGTTAGTAGCGCGCACTGGCAACGGTTGCCACAGTTTGACGAGCGGCGATCACTAATCGTGTGCCCCCATACCACCAGACTAAACAGCCAGGCGCCCTAGGCCGATGGATCTATGGAAGAAGATCTACGCCAACGTGCTGAACCGGCCCACTTTACTCCCCGACGAGTATACCGTCTATATCTGTGACCATATCGGCGTATACCAGGGCCGGTCGAAAATCGTCAACCGCCAGAACGGACGCATCTATCTCACCAATTTCCGCCTCATATACTTTGACAACGATGCTCCCGACCATAATATGGCGTTGGACCTCGCCAATGTCACGTCGTTCTCGAAAATCGACGGCTTCTTGAAACGCAGCCCAAAGGTGAAATTATACCTTAAATCAAATTCCGAGACTACTGCAACTAACTCACCGCTGGCAGTGATGTGGGTGTGCAAAATCTGTTCATTTAACAACACTTCAAGGCCAATATATTTGGATGACGCCGAACTTGTGTGTGCCAATTGTGGGGTACCAGCGTCACCAAAGGACGTCAAATTGACCCCTAAACAGGACGATCAAACTACTAGCAGTCACAACTGTCCGCTGTGTACGTTTACCAACCATCCGTCGATGAAAACGTGTGAAATGTGTGGCACGCCGTTGAAGAAACCGACGACAACTACCAAGCCGCTGGCGGCACCTGACGCTCCGCAAATCATCGTAGAGGGGGGTAAAGTGGAGTACCTGTCTCCGGATAAACCTTACATCAAACTCTCGTTCCGTAAGGGAGGGGATACTAAGTTTTGTCGCCACTTACAACAAATATTGGACGATATCCACTGGAACCAGTTACGAGCTCAGGGGAAGATTAATCTGGGGGCTACTAGAGCTCTGCCGGCACTCAGTGACCAACCTAAAGTACATGGTGGTGGCATTCTGGGGCTTGAACAGTTGGGGGAACAGCGACGACAATATAATGAGACGGTGCTCACAACGTCACTCGACGACTTGGAACAGCTTATGTTCAAGTATGAGGACTTGCTTAAGCTTACGGGACAGCGTACTGAGCTCATTAAGCCGCCGGTAAAGCTTAAAACGCTGGGGTCGCTGTATATCCCTGAGTTGGCACGGGCGATTAGTGAGTACTGTCTTCAGCATGCGCTTACCAAGAGGTCAGCGATGATCACCACCCAGGAACTATTCACTCAGTATAATCGGTACTTAGTGACTACTCAAGGGTTCGGAGTTAAGCTTATCTCTGCGGCTGACTTTGACGCTGCCATCGCCAAATTCACCGAGCTTCGCCTTCCATTGGTGCTTAAACGGTACCTGTCAGCAGCGGTGGTGGCTCCCACCAACGGACTGAATTATCAAGAAGATATCCTCAAGTTTATGAAACAACAACACCGTCAATGGATCAGGGATACTTGGGTGGTGGCCCTTGCTGGCGCCAGCAGTGTTGCTCACGACGTGCTGCCGTTCTTCCGAGGTAATACCGTGGCCGAGATCTGTGCTCAATTCAATTGGAACTATAATATCGCCATGGAAGAGCTCGATCAGTGTATTGACGCCGGAGTGGTGGTTGTCGATGAAAGCATCGAAGGAACGTTCTATTTCCTCAACATCTTTGATCCGAAAGCCTATGATGTTGATGAGGCACCGATTAAAGCTGAGGTTGAGCAGGAGTTGGCAGCACAACAGCAGGAGATTAGTGGCCACTTGAAGTCACAATTTGACCGGTCTCACGCCCTCGTATCGTTCGCCAACTATACCTTTGGTGATGGAGTTGATTCGAGTGAACCTACAGCCACACCGTCGCCAGTATCATCTCATCTCAATGACCTTTCCGGATTAACATTCTGAGGCCTACATTGCATTACTAGAATAACGTCCTATATTGTATACTATAGCATCAATAGACCGAAAATCACTAGACTAACACTTCAAGTATATTATGATATATCAGGATCGTATTAATCCTGCTTAGGTCTCTGATTCTGCGGGTCCTTTTGTAGCATGAACATCACCAACGGGATCACCATGTACACCCAGTACTTCTGGACAAACAGGCGGTCGTCAACAATGACTTCTTCTTCAATTTCCACTTCGCGCTCGACTTTATTCCCCTGTTCATCTTCTTCGACGATGGTTTTCTTGGTGACTTTCTTTTCCGTATGAGGACCTTTCTTTTCCTTAGGCTTTTCACTGCTGTCTTGCGATTTGCGGTTGGTGACGGCCCAGGCCTTCAAGTTCGGCTGGGGCTCCTCGCGGAACTTATACACTCTTCCCGGGCCCTGGCGGATCAGAAGGCGGGCAATCTCGGCCTGTTTATCCAAAAACACATCGACCCCCCAGTCAGACGATAACTCGGTATACCCGAAACACTCGTGGTTGGCGAGATCTTTAGTGCCGACACACGCGGGGCCAGCACCTTCAGTCTCGGCCTTATCGAGATTGACACTTCTTCCGTCAACGGTAACCGTGCCTACGGCCACGTCTGAACCAGCAGACCGAGCGTAGAGCAGGATGGGAGCGTGGGCGGCGGCCATCGCCACCACAAATGCTAGCGACACCTTCATCACTGACGACCGAAAAGTGCGGCACCGAACAATTGGCACAACTGAAGGAAATCATAGACACCTAGAAAAAAAGTAAATCAGCTTATCGAAGTAATTTGTAAGTATTCAGTGAACCGCTTCTTGTGTTAACAGAAGTTCGTTAAATCGTTTTCCATCAAGCCTATAGCTTCTAGCGTCTGGACACTCATCCGATTGTCATAGCTCAATTGATAACTAATATCAATTACAATTTGGTTTCTAGTGCTATGAACCTATTTACACACTCAAATTTCTAAAACAAATCGATCGATTTCGATGGTGACAGTGTGTCCTCTTTGGCTATACTACTCCACTTCTCGCTGGGGCGCGACGCGTATGCTGACCCGACGAGCACTGGGGGTGGCGGCACTGCTGATCCAGCTGGTGGCGGCGTACCTCGAGTACTGTGCCGCCCACAACATCAACCTCGGGCTGACGGTATATAAAGGAACGCTATACGAGCTTCAGTGCAAGGAGTTCATGACCCAGTACCTCCACTGCCACCAGCTCGTGCGCGTGGGTGGGGCCTACGATAATGGCGTCGATATCATCGGTAGATGGAATCTCCGCCAGTATAAGGCGAAACTACCAAAGTTACTGGTAAAGCCGCCCCTGACATCATTGCTACATTATGAAAAAGAGCTAGATCAGGTGCTGGTGATCGCTCAGTGCAAAAATGTCGGGACCAAGATTGGCGCTAAAGTGGTGAGAGAACTAGCTGGAATTTATGAGTATAACCTTAAACGGGCTCCAAAAACCCTCAGGACTAACTATATGTTCTTGTTTAGTCCTCATCCATTGAGTGACCAGGGGATGAAGCAGTGGAACACCACCGATGTCCCCATGGTCCATGTCCAGCTCCGAGTGGGTAGCGATGCCCTTGCCCACTGTACGGGGATCCATATGAACCGGCTCGCAGTGAAACAGCTTACTGGACTTGGCCTTGAGGCTGAGTTTGCTGGATTGCTAGATACTCGTCACCCGCTTGCTCCACCAGCTACGAGTGAAGCCAGTGTCGAAGCAGCAATGGCCAAACTCTCACTAAAATGATACACTAGCATCTATGATACCTACAATATACTGATAAAATTTAGTCATCAAAGACGTCTCATGAAAACAATGTATCATTGCACTTAAACGTCGAACTTAGAAGATAGAAGGTAGACCTAATGATTCACGTTGACTAGGCTTTTAATTGAATAAAGTAATATAACCCACTGAGCGAGTGTAGTACGAGATATTAACGACGTAATGCTAGATTTCTTAGTGTCATTAAATAATGTATTATTGAATCTATCATGTGTCTATGGTACAAATTAAGAAGAGAAACGTCTAGTGAGTCTAGTGACGGTACAACGTGGTGATGTAACGCGTGGTCATGGCGGTGGTGGTGCGGGTGTTAAACGCCGTCGTGGGCTTCTTCACCGTCATCACTTTAACACGAGTGGTTTGAAGAGCGGCCTCAGTGACCACCTGAGTCACGGTGTGGCCCTCGGTTCTCGTGACCACTACCACCCGGCCGTCAGCCTGGGTTTCGGTAGTGGTGACCACCGACGACGTGGGGAAGGCATCGACCACTCTGATCGATGACGTCTGGAGCGTGGTGGGCTCGTACACTTCTTCCGTGGTGGCGTCGGCGTCGGTGGGTTCGGCGGGGGACGCTTCCGTCAGTTCCGGCACTGGCGGCACTGTCGACAGTAGTTCCAGCACGGCCGTACTAGGGTCGACGACGTCGATGCTTTCCGGCAGCACCACGGACGTAGTAGATTCAGGGAGAGGTGAATTAGATTCAGAAGCGGGGGCAGTGGTCGCTTCAGCGGTGGTGGCTTCGGTGGTGGCTTCCGTGGTGGCCTCAGTGGTGGCTTCCGTGGTCAGCTCAGTAGTGGCTTGTTCAGGGCTGGGGACCACGTCACTCAGCGAGGACAGGGTCACGTCCACACCCTTGTTGCCTCCAAGAAGGTCACTCAGCGACAGCGGCAACGGCAGCAGCAGAGGCGACAGCGGCGCCACTTGTTGCGCTTCAACCGAAGACGAAGAGGAAGTGGTCGCTGGTCCGGCCGTGGTCAGAGTCAGCGAAGTGGTAGTAGGTTGCCACGGGTTGATAGTCGACAGCAACGACGTGGTTGAAGTAGTGGTCGACAGAGTGGAGGTGGTGGAGGTGGTGGGTTGCCACGGGTTAATGGTAGACAGGGTGGAGGTGGTGGTAGTAGTCAGCGAAGAGCTCGACAGCGAATGAGGTTGAGGAGCGGGGGAGGCACCGTTGGCAAGGGCCTTAAGCGATTGGGCCATATTTTGGCCTTGGGCATCGACATTAGCGATCGACAGCGAGGCGTCCCAGAACGAGAACCCCCCAAAGGCAGGGCTCAGCAACACCAGCAGCGGCAACTTGGCGGCTACATCGGCAGCAGAAAGGTAGCCAGAACCGGCGGAACGGGCCTCACCGGGTAAACCAACGTATAACTTAATATTCTTATTGGGAGCGACGTTGGCGGCAAAATCCGCCCAGGTGTCCCAGTTGAAATTGGGACCAAGCGAGCAGTAATTGTTGTAGAACTGAATGAATGCAAAATCGAGGTCCAGCTGAGCCAAGACATTACCCACGGAAGCGTCAGGGTAAGGGCACTGAGGAGCAGCAGCCAAGTAGTACTGTTTCAGCGAGTCCTGGGCAAATTTCTGGCGCAAGGCGTTGGCCAACGCGGGGTAGCCCACTTGGTTCTGGTTCTCGATATCGAAGTCAAACCCATCGACAATGGCGTCATCAAACGGACGTTCGACTCCAGCGTCACCGGCACCGAAATAGTTCCACAAAGTGTCGGCAAACTCGGTGGCTTCGTTATCGGAAGTAAAGCCGTAGACACCGGTAGCACCACCCAACAGCAACAACACTTTTTTACCGTTTTGCTGACACGTTTTGATGTCGTTAGCAATATTCGAACAGTGCAATAACCCTTCCGACGTGAAGGTATTTTCACAGGCATTGGCGAAATTGAGCATCATCTTGGGGAACCCGTAGAGAAACGAAAGAATGACAATATCGACTTCTTCTCGAGCACAGTAGTCGGCCAACGGCTGCTGGCCACCCCCAGAGTTCTGGCCCCAGTACACGGCGATGTTGTTCAGGGCGGAGGCGGAAAACGCCATCGCCGTAAGGATGCGGGTGAAGACGACCGCAGCAAACACAGGCACCAACATTTAAAATTGACCAGAGCGAGCTGACTGACGGTTGAGATGGAGAACAAACATGAGGTGCTGGTGCCGATGTTTATATAGAGCTGGCGGCGTCGGGCACGCAGGCAAGCAAACGTCAACCCTGGCGACAGCGAACGCCATGGCGGCGCCAGGGTTCTGCGTCTCGAGATGCAAGCACGAGAAAATAATAATCCCACCCCCAGAGTGCTTGCGTTCCCCAATAATAACTATTCCGCTGTCGGGGTTTCCTCGTGGGTGCTCGCCGCAGTTTGCAACCAGCCATGGTGGAGAAGCGGGTGCGCGTACGCTCACGTCAACCGTAGGCGTGCATAAGGGTGCAGGGCTTGTATACCGGCACTAGCCGTAGCCACAGATTAGAACCTAACTAGACCACACTAAAATAACTAGCCCCGGTACTGACCTTTACTTGTGATTGGTAAAGAAATTGACGGGTAACCAATTGCCGACTCCTAGTGTGCCGCAGTGACGGCACGGCGAGTTGGGGCTAAGCCTGGCCGCTTAGTGATCGCGCCATTGTCGGAGGGTCTGCGGCTCGGTAACCAGCCCTGAAGGTACTATTTTTTATTTTGTATGGCATGGAGTGCGCAGTAGACAATTCTGTGACAATTTTAGCTTATGTGCAGTACTTTCTTTGTCCCCAGTGAAGCGACGACTTAGCCCCCTAGGGGTCCCCACGAGTGCTCAACCTGAGAGCTTCTGCAACTGCAAATCGACTTAATCATACTCTACACATATTACCAGACCCATGGCTGGTTTCATCGTCCTGTATCGTATTGTTGTTGAAATAAGGCTACTGCGGGCAGGGCTCACCGATACAGTTTAGTCAATGCATCTCGACGATCACCGCCTCCGAAAACACAGCAACGACGACGACGATCAAATCATTGCCACTAGTGAACCCTATAAACTCTGTAAACCCTAATTTCGTGACCTGTTTGCTCCGTGTCGGGGGTGCGTCCGTGACACCCATTGATGAGGGACGCCAATAATGACCACTTCCCCTGATCCCCCTCAGGCTCAGGGTCCCTCGCCAAGGGTTACCCGTCCGCGGACAATCCCCGAAAGCCCCGAACGCCTCCCACCCCCATAATAATTTGTAACGGAACAGTGGTTCGGGTAAACCAAGCGCAACGTACGCGTCACGTACAGGGCGCAATCCCTTCAAATGGCTGGTGTCTGGTCTCGAATGGTGAAGGGCGCCTTCCTTTCGCAGCCAATTTACCAGCACTTTTTTTCGCTCCCGTGTGAAAATCGCACTGCGGCACCGAAAAAAATTGCTAGGGTGAGGCTAAGCCAACAGAATCAGGGAAAATACGCCTGGGGGTTGGAAATAATAGACGGGGGCTTAAAATAATTTAGACACGGACTGGGGTTCGTTGCCTCCGATCACGATCGGTGTCGGAACCCAGTTTAAAGTTTAGCATTCCGATCATCGGCTCCAATTGATCCGTCACCGACCACAACTATCTACCACTTAGCCATAAGATAGTAAAAGACAGTACCCACTGGAGGGGCCCGTAAACTATGCGGAGCGAGATAGGTTGCTAGGGGGGGACCGTGGGCATGACTCGACTTTGTGTCGCCGCCAAGCCCGTAAAGACGTGACTTACGTACGAGGGTGGGGTCCTCGACATCGCGAAGGAGGTGTGGTACGAGAATAGCGACGGGATACGTGATTGCCTGCACCTGTGTTTATTGATATTGTCTGATATGTGTTTTCAGAGGAGAAGGAGGTGTGGCACAAAACGTGACTAGCTGTGTTTATTGATATTTGTTAGAAGTGGTTATTGTTGCAAGAGATGACCAAATGAGCTAATCGGAGTAATGTCGTTCATCAGGTTAATGGTCGACACTGGACTCGGCAAACACGGTATCATCTCCTTGGAGGACAAGCCCGTGGTTATCGCGTACCCACAAGTAGTATACCACGGCAACTTCAACTAAGGTCGAAAGAGGAGCCACTACCAGCATCGCTGCCCAACCCCGACTGCTCCACAACTTTTCAAATAAGGCAGCAGGGTCTCCCATACTGCCCACATCCACCAGAGCAAGTGTAGGCACCACTAAGATCCCGCCTAATATCCCCAATACCATGGGGAATACAAGCACCACCATCATCAGCTTGTTAAACTTAGCGGCAATCTCATTCCCATTTCCTGTAGGCACGGCGTCAGGGAACTGGCGGAGCTGGCGGCTCGTCTTAAAGAAGTTGAATATCGTCTTACACCACACGACAAAGCCAATCATCCCGTAGAATAAAGACGCAATCGCTTGGAACACGTTCACTGACGAGGCATCGACGGGTAACACAAAGAGCTTCACCGGCAGCGCCAGCACGTCGGTGAGGGGCATGATCATGGAGAGGGCCATGAGCCAGATGAAGCGGCTGCGGCCCCAAAGCCAGAGGTTATCAGGCATGCGTTGGAACTCTGGATGGTCACCCTTGATGTAGTATAAAGTACCGTAGCCACAGCAGAAAAAGTATAACAGCATCATCGCCATGATTCTCGTGATCTCCATCCCTTTCAAAGTGCTCTGATTGATGACCAGAGCTAACCACAGATCAAGCGAGATACTGATGACTCCGCGAAGGAAAAGCCACAGCCACCGGACGGTTACGGCAATGAGTAACGGGAGGAGTACATAGTGGATTACCCCTTCCAGGACCAAAGAAACGCCTCGGTATTGCTTAATATGGCGTCTAAGAAACGCTGCCATTAGCCATCCAACAATTACAACCACCGCAAGCACTTTAGCGTACCGTTTTTCCGTCCAGGTCAAACCAGAACCAAAATGGACTCTAACTTCACGAGTTTCATCGGTAATTTGCGAGGCAGCAACACAGATGATTCCCGAGTCATCCCCTTCCAAAATATCTTGAGCAAGGATAGTTACCCGCCCGTCACTGTCGACCAAATCCTCGATATGGAACCCCAGTGATTCGATGCCAGAAAAGCGTTCGTGCCAATTAAAATCACACTTCTGGGCCTGGTAGTCCACCCGGTACTCGGTAGCTGACGGGAGGTGGTATTCGTCATGGTTTTTGAGGCGAAACGCCACCAACAGGGCGGCGCCGTTGGCTTCGAGCTTTATCGGTTCAGGAGCCTTTAGAAGCTCACAGGCGATGCCATTTCGAGAGTCGAGCACGGTGTAGGCGGCGACAAGCGGTAGCACCACCGCAAACGACGCTAGGTACCGTTGGAGCCACATTGTGTTGCGGCAGAGGCCCAAGACTAGATTCGCCTCAATTGGATAAGGAGGGTGGCCCTATGGCACCCGTACTGCCACTTACGAGGCTATATGCAGGTTTGGGGTCGCACCGCGAAAAACAAATTCACTGAAGACGGGAGGTGGCTGGTGAAAGTGCCCGAGATAGGTGCGCCCACAGGGGCGTTGGCCATGGCTGGTTTCTCGGCTCGAATTGAGAGAGGGGGTGGCGTCCCACGCGAGAGATGTAGAGGCAGCCAAGAAGAAACGTCGAGGCAACGTCAATGCTTTCACGGCATTGCCGCTATATCTTTCGCGTGATGAGCATCGCATACACCAATTTCTTGAATTTCAAGCTGGTAAATGTAGTGGATCGGTCAATTGAGCGAATGGTAGCAGTTTCCGATCAATCTGAATTGCTGGCTTTGAAACCATAGGCGAGTTTTACGAGTTGGCTGGTGTTTATTGGTTTCTCATTGGAGACAATGGCATTGACAAAGTAAACAGATCAGTGATACTACGCACATCGAGACAATGGGGGGACACATACGCCAGAAGTTTATTGAAGCAGGTGTAGGTGGATGCTTAAGCATTATACAAGTAGGTGTAAACAATGCACTGTCGGGGAATGAGAACAATTGGGGGTGGTTTAGGCTTGGGGGGCCAGTACATGCCGTAGTGACGAGTTACAATTGGTGGCTGGTACACGAATGATGCTCTGACAATAGTGGATTGGTAGTTGTGATGACTAAGCCATGTAGGCCAAGCTTACCAAACAGCTATAATTTGACCATATAAGGTATGGTGATGGTGTATATTTCTCCTAAGAGAGTGAAAGAAGCACCGATGACGTCATCGAGCACTACGAGTAAATTTCAGCGTCTGAAATCTATTCCAAATAGGACACCCATATCAAAAGTAAATCGATTAATATTATAAGTTTGTGATATATTTCTTTGGTGTTACAGGACTCAATCTCGTAGATATCGTAGAAATGGTACAAACACGACGGTGCCCCAGGTTTCGGCGAAACCCGAGTCACAATGCCAAAACCTAAATCAACTCTGTGAAAGAATTGGTAAATTTCCGCCTTGTTGCCAACCGAATCGATGGCTTCCGAGGCTACTGTAGCCAAGGGGTTGGGAATGTCTCCGCACCGCCACTGGCCTCGTGATTGGCGGATCAGCAATCGGCGCGTTCCCCGGGCCCATATGCGCACACCGTCGAAGTAGCTGTAAATAATGAGGAAGATCAATACTGCTAACATCAGAACCATACTAATTCACCAGAGGAGGCTTATATGAGAAACAATTCACTTGTTTCATATTTTCCTTAGGCTTCCCAATCGATTAAACGCGTATATCTCTGGTTGACGAGTAAAGTTACCAGGCGGGGTGCCGTGTAACCCTATACGTGGCTCTCCCGGGGAAAAAGTTTTCATGCGGGATATCGGCCAACAAACGCACGTTCGGCGAACGTGCGTCAAGGCAGCAGTCGGGAGAAAAGAGGGCTTTAAGGAGGGTAGCCGGTATATCCGGAACCAGCAAACGTCGCCTACCATCACTAAATCTGACTCCAATACCCCAGCGGCTCTTGTTTCTCCCGATCTCGTTGCTTTTCTGGTGTTGCTGAGGGGTTGCTTATCGCACCCACATATTGGCAACGCGCACGTGCCACAAGCATAATAGGGGCCAACAACAAACGAGGATGAGGTAAAATTGGCAGGAAATTGGGAGGGAATCACCTAAAGAAGAGGGCTTTAATGATACATAAACGTGTTAGTAATGGTCTAGTGGTAGTTAGATGGCACTCACAGCCTAAATAGTCCCACCAATTACCCTCATGTGTTTCCGCCGAAGTTCGCCGAAAATATGCACGGTGTGGCGTGCCGGTACCATATTCATGTGTGTGGGCAACCGCCTTCCCCCTCTGCCAAATTACTATATAAATAGCTGGTTTCCCTTCCTCCAGTTCTTCAGTTTTCAGCCATGGCCCAGCAAATCCAATTCAACACCTCGGAAAAAACCACCAACAACGGCGATACGTTGGTGACCAAGTTCACCTACGAAAACTCGTTGGTGGAGACCGACGCTTCGGGTAAGCTTACCGTCACTCCCACCAAGCAAGACTACGAGTTCAAGGTCGACTTGAAACAACCCAAGACCGGGTTGATGCTCGTGGGTTTGGGCGGTAACAACGGTACCACTTTGGTGTCGCTGATTTTGGCTAACAAGCACAACATCTCGTTCGAGACCAAGGAAGGCACCATCAAGCCCAACTTCTACGGTTCCGTCACTCAATCGTCGACGATCAAGATTGGGGTTGACGCTACCGGCAACGACGTCTACGCTCCGTTCAACTCGATTGTTCCTCTTGTGAACCCCACCGACCTCGTCGTTGGCGGTTGGGATATCTCCAAGTTGCCTCTTGACCAGGCTCTGAAGCGGGCTAAGGTGTTGGACGTCACTTTACAGGAGAAGTTGAAGCCCTACTTGAAGGAGATGACCCCGTTGCCCTCGATCTACTACCCCGACTTCATCGCCATGAACCAAAAGGAACGTGCCGACAACGTCTACAACGTCGACGCCAAGTCCGGCGAAGTTAAGACCGACAACAAGTGGGCCGATGTCGAGAAGATCAGATCGGACATCAAGGAGTTCAAGAAGCAAAACGGCTTGGACAAGGTGATCGTGTTGTGGACCGCCAACACCGAGAGATACGCCGAGGTCGCTGCTGGTGTCAACGACACCGCCGACAACGTGTTGGAAGCCACCAAGAACAACCACCCGGAAATCGCCCCCTCGACGGTGTTCGCCATCGCCTGTATCCTCGAACAAGTGCCCTACATCAATGGGTCTCCTCAAAACACGTTTGTCCCCGGGATCATCGAATTGGCGGAAAAGCACAACTCGTTCATCGGCGGTGACGACTTCAAGTCGGGCCAGACCAAGATCAAGTCGGTTTTGGCCCAGTTCCTCGTCGACGCCGGTATCCGCCCCGTGCTGATTGCCCTGTACAACCACTTGGGGAACAACGACGGCTTCAACTTGCTGGCTCCTCAGCAATTCCGGTCCAAGGAAATTTCTAAGGCGTCGGTGGTTGACGACATCATCGAGCTGAACCAGATCTTGTACAACGACGAAAAGGGCAAGCTGATCGACCACTGCATCGTCATCAAGTACTTGCCTGCCGTGGGCGACTCCAAGGTTGCCATGGACGAGTACTACTCGGAGTTGATGCTTGGCGGCCACAACAAGATCTCGATCCACAACGTGTGTGAAGACTCGCTTTTGGCGACCCCCTTGATCATCGACTTGGTGGTGATTGCTGAGTTCCTCCAGAGAGTGTCGTACAAGAAGGCCGACGAGGCCGAGTACCACGACTTCTACCCCGTGCTCACGTTGTTGCTGTACTGGCTCAAGGCCCCCTTGGCCAAGCCCGGTTTCAAGCCCATCAACGGGTTGAACAAGCAGAGACAGGCGCTCGAAAACTTGTTCAGATTGCTTGTGGGGTTGCCCATCAACAACGAGCTCAGATTCGAGGAGAGATTGGTTTAGGTTTGTACATAATGTGTAATGTCATAGGATAAGTGTATTTGGAGGATGACTCAATGGGGGTGTAAAGGTGACTCGCCAACGCACGCGTGCGTTGACTCCTGTGACTAACGACGAGGCACCAAACATCAATATCACACTGATAGAAACACGACATCTAAACACAGATAGGGGACATTGTCTGTTTCAGGTGATAGAAAACTAGGCAGTTTGTCAAATCAGTGATTTTTCTACCACGTTGCGTTGTTGGTGGTGGTCGGTGTTATGGCTGGTTGCTGCACTGAGCTGCGCGCCAGCCGTGTGCCGCACCCTAAATCTTAACCCCGGCCAAGCCAGGCCATATAATAACAGAGATCACCACAATAAACACCCTAAGAAGAGATCAGAAAAAAAGTGGGACCATAATCTTAGTCTTGAATCCCATTCCAATTGCTCAGCAAAAGTATCGTGATGGACAGCAATTTATAAATCGCCAAATGATGCCACCGCTTGGGGAGTAGTTAAGGGTAAGCCGAGAAAATCGACAAACCCCATCGTCACTGCTTCCGTCGACACGATTGTTATGATCGATGTTCATTCTACTGATTAAATCATAGTAGCAAGACGCCTTGTCGTTTCCCTTTGGCCGAGCCATGTGATGGGGGACGGCACCAAGGCGCCTGGAAGCCGGGGGCCCCTGGACGCCGCTGGCTGTCACGCCACCATCCCCACCCCCACCAGCTTCCCCAGACGACACAATTAACGGGCACACGACCCCGTATCTGAACCACCACGAGCCCCTACCTTACCCCAGCCGTCGCCCCCTAGTTACCAGTAATTTCTCTCCCCAAAACACTGTTATCTCGGCATCGTACGTTATCCCGTGGCCTTCCCCACATCTACCAATTACCCTTCGCCATCCTCGGCCTGGCTAGGGTGCCGGGTGTTTTCCCTGAGGACGGAATTCAGTCTACAGTACGTATACTAGCCTTCCCTGTTAGTGTGGTGGGTGCCGGGACGGAAGCACGCAGGTGCCGGCGAGCATATGATTAGTGGCGGGCCCAACAAATTCTCTCGTCGAGCGGGCCCTGCCCCGATGCGGTAATGTCAGCAGCAGGGCCCCTACCATATTCACCGCGCACCCGGGGAGGTCACCCGCCGCACCAGTACTCTCCGCCCCCACTATGGCGGTGTCCAAATCGACACTGAGCGCTGGCGGGCGACACCCTCCTGCACATAACTGGAGCCGGCCGCGCTCGCTCCCCACTCTGCGCGCCCGGGGTCACTTACTATAAATCCTTTTGCTCCCCTCGGCTTAGAACCCCCCCTCAATAATCAATTGACCTCTCTCCCCACGATGACTCCGTTGACCGTGCCTGTGGGCGAAGCGAAGCCCGGCGAGACCGCCCCACGCAGACGCGCCGCCCAGAAGAACGGGTGCGTCGCCCGTCCCGAGGACCTGAAGGCGTCGACCATCCCCGAGTTCTTGGAGGAGTGTGTCAAGCGCAACGGCAACATCGCCGCCATGGCGTGGCGGGACTTGATCGAGATCCACTCGGAAACTAAGCAAGTGACCAAGGTTGTCAACGGCAAGGAAACCAAGGTCGACAAGGAGTGGCTCTACTACGAACAGCTGCCCTACCACCGCATCCTGAACCCGGACTTGTTGCTGCTTGTCCACGACTACGCGCGCGGGTTGCACGAAGTGGGGCTCGTCCCCCACCAGGACCGCCTCCACATCTTTGCCCTGACGCTGGCGAAGTGGATGCAGACGTTTTTGGCGGCGGCGTTTGAGTCGGTGGCGGTGGTCACCGCCTACGACACCTTGGGCGAGTCCGGTTTGATCCACCTGATGGTGGAAACGGGATCCAACGGGGTGTACACCGATAACGTGCTTTTGCCCAATTTGATCAAACCCGTCCAGGAAGCCAAGGACATCCGCTTCATCATCCACTCCGACCCCATTGACCCCAACGACAAACGCGCCGGCGGCAAGTTGGCCCGCGAAGCGCAACAGGCCATCGACAAGATCAAGGAGGTGCGCCCCGATATCAAGTTCTACTCCTACGATGACGTCATCGCCTTGGGTAAAAAGTCCCAGGCGAAGCTCAACTTGCCCACCACCGACGAGTACGCGTGTATCATGTACACCTCGGGGTCTACTGGTCCTCCCAAAGGTGTCGTGATCACCCACAAGATGATGCTTTGCGGGCTCGGGGGTATTTCCACCGTTGCTGGCCGCGACTTGGTGTTCCGCGGCGACCGGGTGATTGCCTTCCTTCCCCTTGCCCACATCTTCGAGTTGATGTTTGAGTTGATGCTGTTCTGGTGGGGGTCGTGTCTCGGCTACGCCAACGTCAAAACGCTTACCGACGTGTCGGTGCGCAACTCGCAGTCAGACTTGGCCGAGTACCGCCCCACCATTATGGTCGGTGTCGCTGCCGTGTGGGAGCTGGTGAGAAAGGGGGTTATCGGCAAAGTGAAGCAGCAGCCGCTGTTTGCGCAAAAGATCTTCTGGGCCGCTTTCGCCGCCAAGAAGACGTTGAACCACTACCGTCTCCCCGGCGGCATTTTTGACGTCGTGTTTAAGAAGATCAAACAGGCCACCGGTGGCGAGTTGCGGGTGGTGCTTAACGGGGGGTCGCCGATCTCCCGCGACGGCCAGGTGTTTATCTCCACCCTCATCGCGCCGATGTTGATTGGTTACGGGTTGACGGAACTGTGCGCCAACACCACCATTGTCGACCACAACCACTTCGCCTACGACACCGTGGGGACGCTTCTTGGCTCGCTTACCGGTAAGCTTGTCGACGTCGCCGAAGCCGGCTACTACGCCAAGAACAACCAGGGCGAGTTGTGGATTAAGGGCGACTGCATCACCAAGGAATACTACAAGAACGAAAAGGAGACCTCGGAGGCGTTTTCCGAGGACGGCTGGTTCAAGACCGGCGACATTGGCGAGTGGAACGCCGACGGCACCTTGAAGATTATCGACCGCAAGAAGAACTTGGTCAAGACGCTCAACGGCGAGTACATTGCCCTTGAGAAACTCGAGCTGGTGTACCGCCTGAACCCCGTGGTGCTCAACTTGTGCTGCTACGCCGACCAGAACCGGGTGAAGCCGGTGGCGATCGTGTTGCCCCAGGAGAACAACTTGCGCCTGTTCCTCGCCGACGAAGGGATCTACTCCAAGGACGAGGCCAAGCTGAAGGAGTTGCTGGCGCTTGTCGAAGACCCCAAGGTGCACGACGCCGTGTACAAAACCATTTTGGCTACCGGTAAGCAGAACGGGCTCAAGGGGATCGAGCTCTTGCAAAACATTGTCCTCTTGGACGACGAGTGGACCCCGCAAAACGGCTACGTCACCCTGGCGCAAAAGTTGCAGAGAAAGAAGATCTTGGAGTCGTGCAAGGACAAGGTGGAAAAGGCGTACAAGCTGCTGTCGTGAGGACTCCCGTGGCCGTACCATTATTTTTGTAGCAAATGACATGACCGAACAAAGCAAGTAGCAAACTTTCCTCTCCACAAATTATACTCAGCTTAGCCCTTTCCAATTCGTCTTTGTTCCAAATTCGAGGGCTAGCTCGTAAACTGGTTATTCGACTAGTTATACGTCATCGGCTCCTTCTAATTATAACTTCACATCGGGGCGATTTTTTGTTATTTTAGGTAATCTACCCCGTATATAACTTGCTGTTTGGAACACCGGTCACTGCCATCAACAAAGCTCATCGCCGGGCGATCATATCTCTTTACCGAAGATGTTCAGGCAGCAAGGCGCCTGTTTCGGCTCCCGTAGAGATAAAGCCATAGACTCTTTTTGTAATACTTAGGCACCAGCCACCGAGAATCAAGAAGCTAAGAAGGGCTGGTGGTTAGGGGAATGGAAGGTGGGAATGGGAGTGGGAGAGGTGGCAACATTAGACATTAGTTTGGTGGTTCCCATTCCCGAATTAACCAGCAAACATAACCCATGGTTCGTATTTGACGTAATGGAAGGGAATGTGGTTCCCCAAACGGTGAAATGGACCCCCCGATTCGGCGAAATGCACCCATGAATAACCAGTAAGTCAATAATAAACATTACGAGTAATAATTTGCAGCTATGTAAACACTAATAGTTGGGTTTTGGGAGTCTATTTGGCCACTATCGTAATTTACGCTTTGGTGGGGTACGATGCTCATGGCCATCACCACCACATAATTGACAATAGAAAAAAGCATTCTCATCCTAGCGGTGGTCTCAGAGATAAGCGGGGATCACAATCAGGAATATGTGTCTCCCAGCCCCTTAAGGGGAGATTGGCGGTGCCAGGGGGATCGACGCAAGGAACCACCTTAATCTCACAACCCAAACCTAAATTTCATATGATAAATAATAATTCGAAGTTTCCTAATGAATAGGTGAACCCGATGGGTGACAAAGACGTCGTGGTTTTGTTTGAAAAAGGTGTAATTAATTGAATAATGGTTGAGCTTAATTTAGCCTAGTACTGGTCACACTCGTGAGTTTAAATTATTGATTAAATTACTAAAGTTTAAACTCAAAAATTCTAAAAAAAAAACAGTGAGGACTCTATGAGTGTAATAATTAGTGAATCTGTGACTGCTGGCCGCCAGCGGGGCGACAAAGTCGTCATTGTCTAGTGCTGTTTTTCCCACTAGCCCCCGTACATTTGCTGGAACACCTTGCGAATGGCGGCAATGTCCATGTTTTGGGCGAGACAGAGCTGGACGAGGATGCGGGCCTTTTGCGGGTTCAAGTAGCCGCCAGCAATGGCGTTGGTGTACGGGAATACTTCGCCCGTAGCTCTATTGGTGGCGTGGCGAGGGATCGCGGCGGTGGGGACCATCCCATCCATCAGCCGCTTCAGGTACACCACGGGGATCTGCAGTTTGCGAGTGAGGGTGGCGATGAAGTCGTTGGTGGCGTCGGCCATCAGCCCGGCGCCCATGGTGGCGAGCACAAGCCCCAGACACGCCAGCCCCGACAAGATGAGCTCAATGACGCGGTTGCTGATGCCCTGGTGGCCGTAGAGGATCACCACGTCTTCGGGAGCATCGAAGGGGTCGACGTCAAAGTATACGAGCCCTAAGGGTTTGCTGGGAGGGTAGTAGTAGTGGACCTCGTTGTTGACGAAATTGCCCAAGTATCCTTGACCCGCCAGCTTAAACGTGTCGAGGGAGTTGGCATTCAGCTTAGTGATGTAGAAGCCAGAGCCAATGCGGTCGTTCAAAGCCACAAGCACCCCTCTGCCCCGACTGGAAGGGTCAGAGGCGATCGAGATCGCCTGGTACAAGTTCATGGGCCCGTCGCTCAGAATGGCGGTGCTGGGACGCATCAGGCCACAGAGAACGATCGGTTTATCGGTATTGATAGCGCACTGAAGGAAGAATGCCGTTTCCTCCATGGTATCGGTACCGTGGGTGATCACAATACCATCATACTCCTTGAGCCCCTCCTTGACCTTCTGGTACAATTTAAGCAACTCCTCACTGTTGATCTCCTTGGAGTCGACGTTAAACACCTGTTCGTACTCCAAGTTCGCCGTGAGCGTCAAGTCGGGGATCAGCGCCACCAACTCCTCGATGGTCAAATCAACTTTGTAGCCAGCCGTCTGGGAGCCCGTAGACCCTTTCAGGGCAATCGTCCCACCAGTGCCAAGCACCTTGATCGTTGGCAACTGGCGCTCATCGTCGAGGGAGATCGAGGCGATGGAAAGGTTCAGTGTCGTCCGTTGGACGACGCGGAACTGGGAGTGGGAGTCGTCGTGGATCTCGTACTCGGCAAGCGTGGCGCCCGAGCCTCCGGGGGATACACTAAGCGTGTCGGCGACCATGTCAATCGTCTATCAATGGGTTGTGTAGTATGAGTCAGGTGGACGCGATGGCTTAGGCCGCCCGCCGCCTGCCGTGTCTGCAAATTAACGCCGCACGGTGGCAGATCCCCGCGCTCATACACCCCGCTCGGTGTGCCTTGCGAGAGATCGCCTTGCGAAAGCAAAACACCCAAAGAAAAAAATTGGTGCCAGAGCCAAAAATAACTGACATGCTGGTGAAATAGACTCGGGTTTAATTTCGGTGGCAAAATTGGGAAGCGAAATCGACGGAAACGATCAATATGATAATACGGTGGGTGATGTGAATGAAACGCGCCATCAACGACGTCTACAACCCTATTTCTATGATGACGGGCGTTGACACTCGACATGAACCCTAAAGGAATTGGACTAATGCTGCTCTGATTGTTTTGATGTGCCATTGGCCTTGCTACTGATGCTCTGGTTGGGTGAATTGTCGCAGGGGTGGCGAGGTTACCACCCCGTTAACCGCGCCCAGGGGTACGGACGATCAGGGGTTGCCCAGGGCGACACCAGATCCAAAAGCGGGCGGCAACCTAGATGGAATTGTCACAGCAACAATGACGCCGGATTCGAGGAGGGCATCTGCCGCCAGCGAAGGCTCGCTTGTGCTCTGCGACAAGCACGGTCTAAACCATAACCCGCACATTTGCAAGGGACTATTGGGGTGGGAAACCAGGCTGGCTTATGATGTTCAAATGTCAATCTACGCCTGAAATAGAGTTTGCGCCCCGAATATAAATATCCAGCTTATCTCCCCCCCAGTTCTGGTTCTTTCCATTCTCCTATCGCTCAACTTCGTGGTTCTCGTCTAGATGCGCCAGACCCTTCTCGTGCTCGTCTCGGGGCTTGTGGCAACTCATGCCCACAACCTTCCCCGAAACTTCCGCCACCACGATGTCCCCGATATCCTGAGTGCGTTGGATGATGTTGGTACTACCACTGACTGTGATACCCTTACCACCGATATCTACTCGACCGAAGAGTCTTCTCTTGAAGCAGGTTCGTCTGAGGTTGAACCTACAGTCTCTGGTTCCTACTCTCTGGACCTGGACATTGAGTCGTCTGGACTGAAGCTGATTTGGAGCAGCTTGTCCTCCACCGGTTGGGGCTACACTAACCTGACGTCAGTTGAAGACACCAGTGCTGCTCCCACTGACGAGCAGCCCACGGTCATCCCCACCGTGATCACCACTACCGACTGGGTCGTCGAGTGTGCCGAACCTACGGTGCTCACTTACACCAAGTGCACCAACGACAAGTGCTCCCCGACCCACCACCACGTGCCGCTGCCTACTACCACCACCATCTCCGGCGAGTGTATCGTGGAGACGTCGTACACCAAGACCAAGACCCACCCGCCGACGACGAAGCCGACGAAGCACTCGAGACCGCCGCACCCCCGGCCGTCGAAGCCGCCCCACTCAAAGCCGCCTGGTCCTCCTGGTCCTCCTCACCCTGACACCGAAGGCGAATGCCAGCCGACGGCTACGGAAACGGTGACGCTGGTGGAGACTAAGGTCGTCTACCAAACCGAGGTGCACACGGAAACGTGTACTGAGACCACCACTGAGACTACCACCGAGACCGCCGCTGAGACTACCACTGAGACTACCACTGAAACCGTTTCTGTTACTGCCACCGTCGTCGAAGGCTCGACTTGTCCTCCCGCTGAGACGATTACTGCTCCTGGCACTACCGAAACGTGTACTGTTACTGTTCCTGGCGAGGCCGAAACGGTCACTGTTCCTGGTGAAGCCGAAACGGTCACTGTCCCTGGTAATGAAGCTACTGTCACTGTTCCTGGCCAAGAAGTCACCGTCACTGCTCCTTGCGAAGCCGCTACCGTCACTGTCGCTGGCGCTACGGAAACCGTCACCGCTGCCGGCGCTACCGAAACGGAGACTTGCACTATTACTGTGCCCGGTCAAGAAGTTAATGTCACCGCTCCTGGTCAAGAAGTCACTGTGGTCGAAGGCACTACTTGCCCTGCTCCGGAAACTGTGACTGCTCCCGCCGAGACTGTGACCTTGCCCGGTGCTCCTGCCGAGACCGTGACTTTGCCTGGTCAAGAAGTCACTGTTACCGTCCCTGGTGAAGCCGTTACCGTCGTTGAAGGTAGCACTTGTGCGCCTGCTGAGACGGTGACTGCTCCCGCTGAGACCGTAACTTTGCCTGGTGAAACCGTGACTTTGCCCGGTGCCACTGAAACCGTTACCGTTCCTGGTGAACAAGTAACTGTGCCGGGTGCTACTGTCACTGTCGCCGGTGCCACCGAGACCGTCGCTGGTGCCACTGACACCGTCACTGAGACTGCTCCCGGCGCTACCGTTACCGTCCCCGGTGGTGAAGCTACCGTCACCGTCCCTGGCGCCGAAGCTACCATCACTGAGACCGTTACCCTTGCTGGCGAACGTGTCACTGTTTCCGGTGAAACCGTTACCGTCGGTGGTGAGACTGTGACCGTGCCTGGTGCTCAAGAAACCGTAACTGTCGGTGGCGAAACCATTACTTTACCCGGTGAACAAGTTACCGTCACTTCTCCTGGTGTCACTGAAACCGTGACTGCTCCTGGCGGGACTGTCACTATTGGTGGCGAAACTGTTACTGTCGGTGGCGAAACTGTCACTGCTCCTGGCGTCACTGAAACTGTTACTGTTGGCGGCGAAACTGTTACTGCTCCTGGTGTGACTGAAACTGTCACTGCTCCTGGCGGAACTGTCACTGTCGGTGGTCAAACCGTGACCGTCGGCGGCGAAACTGTTACCGCTCCTGGACAAACTGTCACTGTCGGTGGTGAAACTGTTACTGTTCCCGGTGTGACTGAAACTGTTACCGCTCCTGGTGGAACCGTTACCGTTGGCGGTGAAACTGTTACTGTTCCCGGACCTGCTGAAACTGTTACCATTGGTGGCGAAACCGTCACTATTGGCGGTGCCACTGTTACTGTTGGTGAAACTGTCACCATCGGCGGCGAGACCGTCACTGCTCCTGGTGAAACCGTTACTGTCCCTGGACCTGCTGAAACTGTCACTGTTGGCGGTGCCACTGAGACCATTGCCGGCTCTACCGTTACTGAAATCGCGACCGTTACCGTCCCTGGTGAAAACGCCACTGAGACCGTTATTGTTCCTGGTGAAAATGCCACTGTCACCGTTGCTGGACCTACCGAAACCGTCCCTGGTCAAACCGTCACTGAAACCGTTGCTGGTGCCACCGAGACCGTCGCTGGAGCCACTGAAACTGTTACTGCCCCCGCTGAGACCGTGACCTTGCCTGGTGAAAACGCCACTGTTACCATCTCTGGTGAGGTTGTCACTGTCCCTGGCCAAGTTGTTACTGAAACCGTTCCTGGTCAAGTTGTTACTGAAACTGCTGCTGGCGCTACCGTTACCGAAACCGTCACCGTTGGCGGCGAAGTGACTGCTCCTGGCGTCACTGAGACCGTTACCGTGCCTGGTGCCACTGAGACCCTCCCCGGTGAAAACGTCACTGTCACCGAATCCGTCAACGTCCCCACTACCGTGTTCGCTGGCACCACCTGTCCTGCCCCTGAGACCGTCACTTGCACCGAGACTGTTACCTCTGGTGAAACCGTGACTGCTCCTGGTGAAACCGTCACCATTGGTGGTGAAACCGTCACCCTCTCTGGTGCCACTGTGACCGTTGGCGGCGAAACCGTGACTGTTGGTGGTGAAACTGTAACTATTTCCGGTGAAGTTGTGCCCACTACTGTATTCGGAAGCTCTACTTGCGTTGCTGAGACTGTTACCTGTACCGAAACCGTGACTGAATCGGGTGCTACCGTTACTGCTCCTGGTGAGACCGTTACCGTTGGTGGAGAAACCGTCACTGCTCCTGGTGCCACTGAAACCGTCACTGTTGGTGGTGAGACTGTCACTGTTGGCGGCGAAACTGTCACTGTTGGCGGCGAAACTGTCACCCTCTCTGGCGCCACTGTTACTGTCGCCGAGACCGTCACTGTCCCTACTGTCGCCAGCTGCTCTGCCGCTGAGACCGTCACCTGCTTCGAAACCATCACTGAATCTGGTGCCACCGTGACTGTCCCCACTACCGTCGTCGAAGGCTCCACTTGTCCTGCTGCTGACACCGTCACCGTTTCTGGTCCTGGTGAAACTGTGACCGTTGGCGGTGAAACCGTGACTGTGTCCGGTGCCACTGTGACTGTCCCCACTACCGTCGTTGAAGGCTCCACTTGTACTGCTGCGGAAACCGTCACTTGCACTGAAACCGTCACTGAATCTGGTGCTGTCGTCACTGCTCCGGGTGAAACGGTGACCATTTCTGGTGACGTCGTCACGGCTCCTGGTGAAACCGTCACCATCACTGAGGGTTCAAGCTGTCCTGCTGTTGCCACCGTTACCTGTTTCGAGACTATCACCGAGTCCGGAGCTACCGTGACCGTGCCCACTACTGTTGGTGGAGAATCTACCTGCCCTGCCGCTGAGACTGTCACCTGTACCGAAACCGTTACTGAATCCGGTGGCGTGGTCACGGTGGTCGAAACCTCCGCCGGTGCTGCCGCAACTGTTACCGAGTACGTCTCTGCCTCCGGCGCCACCGTGACGGTGCCCACGACTATTGTTGAAGGCTCTAGTTGCCCTGCCGCCGAGACCGTCACCTGCTTCGAGAAGGTGACTGTCCCTACCACCGTCAGTGGTGAAGGTACCACTTGCCCCACTGCTGACACCGTCACTTGCACTGAAACCATCACTGCCTCAGGTGACACCGTTACCGTGCCCACTACCATCTTCGGTGACTCTACCTGTGCTGCGGAAACCGTCACTTGCACCGAGACGATAACCGCTTCGGGTGCTGGTGGTGAAACCGTCACTTGCACTGAGACCATCACCGAGGCGCTGTCGTGTGCTGCTGCCACCACCGAGACCTGTTTCGTCACCGACACCGTCACTGAACAAGGCGCGGTGTCTACTGAAACCTGCTACGTCACCGAGACCGAAACCCAAGCGGCATCGTGTCCTCCGGCTTCCGATAGAACTACCACAGAAACTTGTACTGTCACTGAGACCGAGACCGAGCCGTGCACCAACGGCCCCACCACCGCTCACACTACTACCTGTACAGTGACTGAGACTGGAAACGCTGGTACTCCGCAAACGGTGACGTTGGTGTCGACTCAAGTGATTCAAACTGGCGGTAACCAACAACCCCAGCCCACTACCAACGCCAACACCGCGCAGCAGACCCAGCCTGCCTCCAACAACTGGCGCCGCTACTTGTTCTAACGAGTGATACCACCACTCCCTTGACCACTTAATTGTGGTCTTTTTTACGTTTAAATTTTAGGTTTTTTGAATTTTTCGGTCTAATAAATTTCTGAGTATCTGAGTATTTGAGTAGTGTAATCATAAAGGAACTAGTAAAATCCAAAGCATGTAACCAAGAATTGGGGAAATGAAACCAACCCATGTGAAACCAATAAAATCAAACAATGCAAATAGAAAATCAAACCATGCAAAATATCATCTCGTCATGTCATTATCATCATCAGCCATAAGGAGAGCACCAGTGCTGTGTCCCTGGACTCTTTTTCGCTCCTGCAGGTAATCACTTACACAATTGATACCAGAGTGCGACACATTGCGCTAATACTAAACCAAACCCCATACCATCACCATCCAATGGGTCTCTTCTCCAGCAGTTCCGGCGCCGACGAGCTGGCGGTGCAACACCCTCCCAAGCGGGGCAAGAGAAAGGAGTGCTGGGACTCGCGCGACAAGTTCTTCGCCTGTCTCACCGCCAACAACATCGACAACTCGCTCGACCCCAAGTCCGAAGATAAGGTGAAAACCCAGTGTGGCGACCTCCGCCAGGACTTTGAGGGCAAGTGCGTCGAGCTGTGGGTGAAGTACTTCCAGGAGAAGCGCTTTGCCGACTTGAAGCGGGCGCGGTACATCGAGAAGTTGGAGCTGGAGGGCGCCCAGCCGTTGCCGTTTAAGCTCGACAACAGCCGGAGATAGCTCCTTCCTTTAACTCCAACCACTCCAGCGACTGTGGACGGGGTTGTTTTGTATATAGCTAATGAAATAACGTGGGAATCATCACCGGCTTATATACTTGATAGCTCGTCGCTGTCACTGCCCGACTCAGTAATCCCTTTTTAGTATCGGTGTTCCGCAACCGCCGTGCCGCTTTACTGAATCAGGAATAGCCTCTAGTAGTGGATATTGGCAGCCGTTGTCAGGTACCACTGTGGCTTTTCGTGTGCGGGCAACAGTGCTAAGCGAGCAAGGGGCCCCCCTTAGATTTGAATCGGGAAGGTGCGGAGATCGCAACTTTACTAAATCAGGGAAGCAGAGTAGCTGAATACGAACGACGCTGACACCGCCAGTATGATCTCTGGCCAGCAGAATTCTTGATAACAACCATTGTCTACAAATAGATAATTGCCACAGAACAAGGACGACCGCAACACCAGCAAGTCACCAGTAGGTTATGGGAAATGATGGATACTAAGCTCATCGACAGGACGAATACGACATTCGAATTTCGCATACAGTGCAAGCTTTGCTCTAGGTTACTACACGTCAATGACGGTTTACTGTAAAGTAAAACTCTATACGTTTCTTGGTCTATAAAATGCATAATTCTACTTGGCCACCAAAGCCACACCAAAGCTCACCACCAGCTCGTGGCCGACGATATCTAGCACCAGATGCCACGTATACTCCCCGCGCTCAAGCATGAGGAACGCCAACTCAAGCGTAAGTGACTCCCCAGGAGCCACCCCCTTGGGCCCAAGCGGTTGTTGAAGCACACCGTTGATTAAGATGCGACGATCACTAGCCCGCGCCCCGGTACCTTCCTGAGGGGTGTGCCGCAAAATGCCATGAATGGTAGTGTCGCTATCATTAGTAATCACCGCCCGGATCAAATAAAACTTGTCGAGTTCAAGCAGGTACTCGCTGTCGCCGTGATGAGTTAGTTGCTCATTAGTATCGCCGTCAGCAATCGACAACTCCACCTTAAACGGTTGGCGTACAAGGGTATCTACCATTCTGGGTGTAAGGCGAATCTGCCGGGCATCCATTAGCCCCAGCCTAGGGTTGGACGTGACTTGCCAGGTCCCGCTAATCTGCTCCAAAAACGCCTGGCGAACCCAGAACACGTACCGCATACGCATTTCCTCTTCGTCAGTCATGTTGTAGTTCTTGACAAACTGCTTATTACGCAACGACGGGATCGTCGCCTCGGTGTCAAGCAGGTTGGCGTCGATCTTCTTCACCGGGAACATGAACCGCCACAGCTTATATGGTTCAAGCGACACCACTCCTGTTTGCGATTGGCAGTTGAAAGTGGCTTCAAGCCGTTCTCCCAGAGGATTGCGAATATCAGCAATGAACACACAATACTCCAGCGGGTCAATCGACGGGTTCTCCTTTAAGAAGGTCAGAATATGGTCGAGTTGGCCATAGCCTCCCTTATAATGGTCAAAAGCACCTCGGAAAAGCGGAAGCACATCACACGAATAGATCTCCACCAGGGGTACTACCAGCACTGATAACGGGATGGTGACGTAGCGTAAAAGTGACGCTTCGCCGCCGTCTTTGTTGGCGTACTCCAAAATGATGCGTGCTTTACGCATATTCTTTTTCCCCACCACTTCCACTTGTACTTCCACTTGTTCACCTGGTTCGATTGTTTGATGGTTTTTGATGATCTCATCCTTATTGACGATGCGAAATCCACCTTGCTTGAGTAATAGCCATTCAAGTTCATACACTTCCAGCGCCGGTAATTGCGTGCCTTGTTGTTCCAAATGAGTGGTTAAGGGCTCGATGGTCAGGTCCCAAAAGCTAAACAGAAGGTAGTTGACCACCTCTTGAGAGTAATTAGAGAGGTGGACTTTAAACTGCGTCCGCTCGCCTTCCATCAACATAAGCAGGCCGTTGGCCACCAGCATGTGTGTAAGCAGAAGCTTAGGTTGGGGTGGGATCACGCGAAACGTAATCTCCACGTTTTTGGGATGGCCAATGGCAAACGTCTGACTCTTACACCCAGCCACCGTCACCGATAACCCAGTAACTACCGCTTTGCCCAACACTTGCGGCACAAAGCTCACTTCAAACGTCTCGGTCGATTGCGGAGGCACCACCAACGCCGGCGTCGGAGACAGTTGCGGCACTTCGTCGCTGGCAATCAGCAATGTACTCACCAGGCGAAGCAGTTTCGCCGATATTTGTGTCGGTGGTCTCACTTTCGCCCCCATGGAAAGTCCTCCAGAACCAACATGTTTGTTGCCGTTCATCGTGGTCCCTGGAGCCAGTGGCGCCACACACGTATTCACTGTCCTCACTTTGCCCGGTTCATCAGTAACCATGGTGATGTCGTTGACGTAAATGGGGAACGTGAATGGGTTTTGAAGCTCGACACGAAGCTGGTACACTTCCTCCTTGATGAATACAGGGTCGGCTCGCTTCGCTGGCTCCTTCTTGGCGTAAGGATCAAAGAAGGGCTCGGGAGTCTTGGTGGGTGCTGGTATCAGGCTGGCTGGAGATGATCCCACAAGTCCTTGACGAAGGAGTTCCGGCGACGGAATGCGGTCGTCACCACCTACGGCCACGAGCTGAGCCCCTCTGACTAAGTAAGGGTCCCAGTACTCGGCCGCCATATCCGGGCGAGTACCAACGACGCGAGTCACTTTATCTCTGATACTCGCTTGGTCCTCTTCACCTAAACAGTGAGTAAACTTGGAGAGTAAAAGATTGCATAGACGTAAGCTAAACTCGTAGTCATCGGTAGCTTCGCCGATTCGCAAACCAAGCTTAAGTAAAGGAATTTGAAGCGGGGCCCAACTTTTTGGAGTCTCTTTCGCCTCGTAGGGGATGGCGTAGGTATCAAATAGAAACTTGAATATTTGGTGGAGTGATTGTGCCAGCAGAAGAGGGCCGAGATCATCATCGGAACGGGTTTCCAATTCCAGCAATAAACGAGCTAATAGGATGCGCAATATAAATGCCCGCTTACGCTTGAGTCCCAAATCGGTATACATCAGCGCCAACACCAGGTAGATTCGACACTGATCGACTAAATGGATGTCAGCTATCAGTAGGGAAAACACCCCTTCGATTTGATTAAGGATATCCGATCGAGTGAAGTAAGCCGAAGAAGCAGGTTGTGGTTTCGGTTGAAGCTGTCTCAGACACACAATGGCTTCAAGAACATCAGGATTAACATCGTTACCGCCGAGGTACACCGCCAACATAAACTTGATGGTACGCAATATCAGGTCGACGTAGACGACATCGGGGACAACGTTCTCATCGTGGTCGTTAATGCTTAGGTGGTAGTAGTGGACCACTCTCGACAGCACGAGTTTGATGACTTCGGGAAGCGCCAACAGTTGGAGGTCAGCGGCGTTGAAGCTCAGGGTCAGCGAGATCGACACTCGCGGCAGTGTCGACACCAGCAGCAGGTCCACCAGGGGTCTTCGAGATCCGTGTACGCCCTCTGGCTGAGGTGACAGCGGCGTTGTGGGAGTATGGGTTGATGATGAGATGGAAGGGAACCGACGGTGCGAGATGTGGAGCACGCTGCAAATGATATTCTTTTGTAGCTGGTAGGATTGGTGGATGTATTGGAGTAGAACACAAGCAATGCCCACGCCTTCCAACGCCAGGCCGAGCCAGAGGAAGTCATCGCACTTCTTCAAATGGGTCAATGCGTCCGTAAACGAAGCGAGCGCGTCCTGGTAGCGACCAGCAAGCAAAAAGAAGTTACCCATAAGCTTAGCTTGGCGTCCACTATGTCTTATCGCCAGTTTCAGCTTTGACGGTTCGTTCAGCGTCGGCGGTTTGAAGCCACCCAGTAATCGTTTGTGGGCGTGGTTGATGGTCTTGGTGAGGGTATGACTATTCTTGATCAGCACCGGGCTGCGGAGAGTGATATTAGCAAAGCTCAGGGCGTAGCCGTCGAGCGCTTGGAGGAAGTTCAGGGCGACATCGTTCATCACCAGCATCGCCGACGTAAGCGGCTCGTGGTCAGTTAAAGTGAACACTTGCAGTTCCGATGACTGAGTAGGGGCATCAAAGAGCACCAAGTTGTGGACGGGGATCCCCGGGTACCGTTTTTTCAACTTATCGAGAGTAGTCGAAGGTGTGTGGTCCGAAGAATAACGCCCCACTCCCAAAACCACGAACGTTTTGCGGAAGGGCTCAAAGTCATGGAGAAATAGCAGTTCCTCGTCGACCGCCAGCGTCAACAAGTTGAACATGACGCGGCCGTTAGGGGCTGCCTGGGGGTTGAAGTAGTGGAGGGTCGAGGCCACCAGGACGTCGGAGAGCCTGATCTCGTTGCACGGTCGTAGCTGGGCGAGGTAGCGGGCGAAGTCGTCCTCCAGGGTGTCGTGGACGGGGACCACCAACACGTTGACCCGGGCGGGGGCGGTGTACCCGTATCGATCCATATATGCCTCGAACCAACTGTCGCGCGAGAAAAGTACACAGAGGTAGGTGGTGAAAGGTGGGAGATATCTGAGACAATAGAGATGGAAGATGATTGATTTAGATGATAAAAGAGATGGTAGATGTATAGAGATGGCAGAGCAGTAGTTTAAAGCAAACTGTGACTGTGGCTGGTGTCATTGGTGACGTGTTCGATGGGAGAGAGAGAGTGGATAGAGTAGAGTAGTTTGAGATGAGGAGTATGCGGTGTTCAAACAATCCATCGAGGACCTGGTGAGTGTAGTGGGAATGGGATCTTTCAATATTGTCAAAAATCAGGAGTTATTAGATGGCAGTTGTCCCAATTGGGGATAATTTGGAAGGGAATGTGGATGAGACGCGGTTGTTGAATGTAGGAAGTATCAAAATGGCATGGGAATGGCACGCCGAAAGATGACGGTGGTGTCGACATGGAAAACTAAATTGTCGCTTAAATCAGAGCTAAGATGAGGGGACTGGCAGGACGTGTTTCTTCAGCACACGCGTCGGGTCACAAAACACGTTGTGGCGGAGAAACGAACAATGGAATGCCATACGGGGCTTGATGAAACATACAGCGCAATGAAGGAGAGAGAATGCGGCGAAATGGTGGCACGCCTCGGAAGTTTTGCCGCCTCAGACACTTTTTTTGTCGGAGAAACCGGAAAGGCGGGGTTTATGCCACCAGGGTTAAAACCGGTTGGAGGTCTTGCCATTGGACCAATGCACGGCGTCCTATTATAGAAGTGTACGTCGCGAATATATTTGCCGAGGCATTTTTCTTTTTCTTTTTATTTTACGTGGTGGGACATTTCAGAGAGTGATTAAGTGTACGTCGCTTAAGTGGTGGTAACTTTAATGGTAAATAAGCTCAGTGGTAAGCGTGGGGGAGGAGTGGTCTGAAAACGGTAAATTCGTCGCATCCAGGGTTTGGGTAAATGGTACTGGGGTTCCTGATGACATTAACTTTAATTTGAAAGTCCCCAAACCCATCATTTCCCACCAATGTTACATCTGAAGTTGAAATTCATTTGGTTCACCTACAGCACATGATACAGCATACCGTAGTTCGAGTCCTGGCAACGGCAAAAAATTGCTCATTCTTAAGATTTTTCAATTCCATCTGATATCAATGATTTAATTCAGTATTTACTTCACCTACAATTTCTTCCTCTACTTACAACACACCCTATTTCACTGTTCACAATACTGTCTTTGCTGCTATGTTTTTCGGTGGCGCTTCGCACTTCGCACCGCACCACCACTGACGCCACCAAAAGGGACAATGGCGGGTTTAAGCTTTGACAACTACCAGCGGAACAGCTACCTTGCCGCCAATGGGTTTGGCACTCCCAAGGCCACGTCGACCGGTACTACCATTGTTGGTTGTGTTTTCGAAGGCGGCGTGGTGATTGCCGCCGATACGCGTGCCACTTCGGGCGATATCGTCGCCGACAAAAACTGTGAAAAATTGCACCGGTTAGCCCCCAAAATCTGGTGTGCTGGTGCCGGTACTGCTGCCGATACCGAGATGGTGACCCAGCTCATCGCCCTGAACTTGGAATTGCACGCGTTGTCGAATAACCGTGATCCGCGAGTGATCACCGCCGTGACGATGTTGAAGCAGCATTTGTTCAAATACCAGGGCCACTTGGGTGCCTACCTCATTGTTGCTGGTCTGGACCCCACTGGGTGCCATTTGATGTCGGTTCAGGCCCATGGTTCCACCGATATCGGTAAGTTCCAGTCTCTTGGGCTGGGGCTGTTAGCGGCGATGGCGGTGTTGGAAACCCACTACCGTGACGGTATGACCCGGGACGAGGCGGTGAAGTTGTGTGCTGACGCCATTGAGGCCGGGATCTGGAACGATTTGGGTTCGGGGTCTAATGTCGATGTGTGCGTGATGGAAAAGGGTAAAGATGCCGAGTTGTACCGCAACTACTTGACCCCCAACAAGCGGGGCGAGAAGGAACGCTCGTACAAGTTTGCCCGGGGCACCACGTTGGTGTTGCTGCAGAAAGTGCGTGATCTCTGCCAAGTGGAAGAGGAGATCGTCGAGTTTAATCGGATGGACGTCGACGTCGAAGCGTAGACTCGTATATAATGCCAATCATGACCAGAAAGAGATAACTGTAGAGCCCGAGGGATTAAATTTGTGATCAGAATACGACTATCAATGACTATTAATTACTATCGTTTATCGTTTGATCCTTCATCGTATATTGGCTATTGCTGTACACGACGTAAACTGTGTTTCTCTTGCTGTTGAGAGATTTAACGGCTGTAGCGGTTTCGCCGAGACGTTTACGTCTCGAGGAGTAAATATCTCAAACTCCACAAAAGCAGCGTAGTGGAATTGTATGTGGCGTATAGTGTTTATCGTTTGTTATCAGTAACGGGCAATAAACATCAGTTTCAAACGATGCTACAGTGATCCTAATGAAGCTTAGACTCTTTTTAAAATCATATAAAAAGAATCACCAAATCAAGAAAGGTGGGGGGGGGGTTCCGTGCTGAAATGAGGCTTGAGTTAATTGATTGCGGGCCCGGCGCATGCCACTAAATACCGTGCGACCTGGTGGCTAGTGCAAATTGGCGGGGCAAAGAGCGGGATTAAAAGGGAAATTAGAAGCATAAACAATATGATACAATGATGATAACGAAGGGTAAAAAGTCACTTTGAACTCCAATCGAATTCGAAAGACCTCCATGCTTGCTCCTACCCCAATTGCCGACACTTCCGGCGGCAAGGGTTTCTCGAACCTTCTGCGCACTTCACCACATATATCGGAGGCGCCGGCGCCGCAAACCTCATCCACAAGAACACACGCTCAACAATATGGTGGTGAACAACCCGAACAACTGGCACTGGGTCGATAAGAACTGTTTGCAGTGGTCACGTGAGTATTTCAACCAAGTGCTCAAGGGGCTTGAGGCGAATGGCGATGGCGCCGAGACCGCGGTCACCCTGGTCAATAAAGTCGATGGCGACGTCGACGTGTCCCAACGGAAAGGGAAGGTGATCTCCTTGTTTAACCTTGCCCTCACCATTGGTTTCAAAGCCAAGGATAAAGATGGTGAGTGCCAGGGGACGATTAACGTCCCGGAATTGGCCTACGACACCGACGCCGACGAGATCCAGTTTGACATTAATATCCATAACGAACTGTCGCTGACGGAACGGTTCCGTGCCGTCGCCAAGAAGCTTTTGGTTCCCGCTCTCCGCGATGTGCTTTCCCGGTTTGGCAAGGACTTAATCATTGCTAACGCCGGCGATATCCAATTGGACCCTACCCAAGTGAACTCCCAATTCACCAAAGCCAACCAGGAAGAAGTGGTAGCTAAGAATAGCGCCGGTGGTCTGCTGCTGGGGGCGCTGCTGCTGGGTGCGGCTAAAAATAGCTCGCTGGCTCTGCTGGCTCTGGCCCTGACTACCAAAGTGTTCAACACTGCTAGTGTCTACCTCGAGCCCGAGTTTAACACTACTGCCGAACAGTTATACATTACTCTCACCGACCGTGATCGCGTCGTCGCCTGGGCGCGGCTGACCCCCGTGATGCCCGCCTACCCCGTCCCCGTCGGCCTGGAATTCTCATTATTTGGCGGTGCCGTACTGGGTAAATTCATTAAGCTTGACCCCCACCACGAGATCGAACAATTGTGGCGCCTCAGCGACTGGAAACCCGGCCACTACGCCACGCTCGACATCAGATTGTCGCAGGGGATCTCCGAGACGAACATGCTCGTCAAATTCACCGGGGTGCCCATTGGCGAAGAGGACCGGGTGCGGGCCAATTTCGAGGAGTACTACGTGAGAGCGATCAAGCTTACGTTTGGCTTCGGCGCCGTATTGTAAACAAAACAAAACAAACCCTCTATCATTATCTCCAACAATCGAGCTTTATTTAGCCTCGTATATGGCACTGCCGCCCTGCCACCCCACAGTACTTAGCGTACTTAGCGTAATGTGTGTGTGCGAAATAAATATTCTGCTCCGCCAGCCTACCCGCAGGTTAGCCACGCGCCACTGTAAACACTGCTCTATACAAAATAATAAAAGCCACAAGTAGACGGCCACCAAACAATGCTAATAATGCTAACAATGCTGATAATACTAGTAGTGCTAGTGTAATACTCATGTATGACTCACAGATAGTTGAGGGGACTGGTTAGGGGGGCCTGGTATTGTTACCATATTCCACTGCGACCCTATCCGGGGCCCGCATGCCGAAT